TTTGCGAGGTAACATTGAAGATGCTTCATTAATTAAATATGTTATTGATGGTATTCCCGATTCGGTGGTTAGGAAAACTTTAATTGCCAGGAATTTGGGCATTATTCAAAGCATTGTGTAAACAAATCAAAGGGTGTTAAATGTAAAAAGTTTGGGCATTATTCAACGGACTGTCCAGAGCGGAACCCCGAGACACAACAAGCAGCTTTATTACAACGAATTTCCGACAAGGATAGAATTATGAAGACTGTAGAAATAAATAATCATTTAGTTGCTAGTCTAGTTGAAACTGGTTCTGTAACGATATGCGCGTAGTGTTACACAGCAATTGGTTCTCCTAATTAAATTGTAGCGATATCACATTAAACGAATTGAATCAAAGCAAACGTACCCCATCGGCTTTTTCATTTCTGATATTTCAATTGATAGTTTTTTCACTGCGTACGAAAATCTATGTTGTTAAATCATTATGTAATCAAATTGTATTAGGTTTGGATGTATTGAATCAGTTTAACTTCTCTTTTACCGAGAATGGCCTTCAAATAATTTCTCATCGGAATAAAAGTAATGTAAACTTGATAACTGCTGAGTCATATCCAAATTCTAACGTTCGTTGCATTATGGGAAATTTGAATATTGCTGTGTCATTGAAGAATGTTTATGATCCTTCGCAATCGTCTGGCGTCTCCGTTAATGTAAACAAAAGTCCCGAAAGCGGAAGTAGCTCGACATTTAATTACCTTTCACATCTGGTGAATGCTATTTCTGTCAACGAGATTGATTTATCGCACATTTCAAATGCAGAACATAAAGAAAGACCGTGTAATTTAATTAATTCGTACCAGCCTCGGAAAAATAGATAATCTGACTTTAAGATGCAAATAAATTTATGCGATGAAATTCTTGTCTGTCAAAATAGAAGATACATGTCTTTCGCAGAACAAAAAATTGTTGACGATCAAATTAAAGAATGGTTGAGAGAGGGCATAATAAAGCCTAGCAATTCTAATTATTCGGCGCCTCTTGTTTTGTGTAACAAGCGTAATGATTCGAAACGTTTATGCATAGACTATCGGAAATTAAATAAGAAGATTATTAAAGACAAATTTCCACTGCCTTTAATTCTGGAAGTACTTGATCGTTTAGAACAATCAAAAGTCTTCACGACACTAGATTTGAAAAATGGCTTTTTCCATGTAGACATAGATGAAAATTGCACCAAATATACCGCATTTGTAACACATAATGGTATTTACGAATTTCTTAAAGCTCCTTTTGGTTTATGTATTAGTCCAAATGTTTTTTAAAGGTATATTTATTCAGTATTTCGTGACTTGTTAAATGAAGGTGTACTAATTATTCATATGGATGATATAGTTATACCGGCTAATGATGAAGCTGAACGTTTAGACAAATTAGAAAGAGTATTCAAAACTGCTTCGGAGTATGGATTACAAATAAATTTCAAAAAGTGCCAATTCTTAAAACGTAAAATTGAATTTTTAGGACATGTAATTGAAAATGGAACTATTCGACCATCACCTTCCAAAACTGTTGCTGTTTGAAACTTTCCACAACCGCGTAACTGTAAACAACTACAAAGCTTTTTAGGACTAACGGGATATTTTCGTAAATTCATTCCTCAGTATGCTAAAATAGCTAAAACCTCTTAGTGACTTACTTAGAAAAGGTATTGGTTTTAAGTTCGATTCCGAACAACAGGAAGCGTTTTGCAGATTAAAAGAAATTCTCTCTCAAGCACCTGTTCTACACATATTTAGGCAAGGATATCCATTAGAACTCCATACTGATGCTAGCAGTCAAGGCTTTGGTGCAGTATTACTCCAATTGTCTGATGATGGTAATTATCACCCAATCCAGTATATGAGTAAGAAGACTACACCGCAGCAAGAGAAACTCTGTAGTTACGAATTAGAAGCCCTTGCAGTAATAGAAGCTCTGAAGAAATTTCGAAACTATTTGTTATGCTGTTATTTAATTCAAAATTGTAACTAATTGTAGTGCTTTTCAGAAAACTTTAGATAAGAAAGATTTAACTCCTAAAATTGCGAGATGGGCAATGTTTATTGAAGAATTCGATTACGAAATTGTACATCATTCAGGAAGCCAAATGAAACATGCTGATGCTTTAAGAAGAAATGCTCTAATTTTAACATCATACACATATGATGTAACTGAGAAGATTTGGTTAGTACAACAGAATGAAGATGAACATGTGAAATTAATCAAGAATTTAGTTGAGAAGGGAGAAGAAAATGGATTCTTCGTGAGAAATGATATTTTTGTACAAATTTGAAAATGGTAAAGATCTGCTAGGCCCACCAGCGGCCGAGCGGTAAAGTCGCTGAACACTGGTAGTTCGGTCCGAGGTTCGAATCCCGCGAACGGGCTGGCTGCATGGGCGTTTTCGTGGTTTTCGCCATGTGTAACGTGTATACGAGCCAGTTTCCCTTAGAAAGTCCTCCACGAAAGGCATCCCTCCCTTAGGCAGATAGCCCTAGTGTCCTTTGCCATAATTAAATACACATACACGGTAAGATCTGCTAGTAGTGCCAGAATCCTTACAACGAAATAATACAGAAGGACATAAAAAGGTCCTTTGCTGTAGATAAAAACTGTGATGCTGTAGAGCAAGAATTTATCCCAACTGAAGTGCAAAGTTGAAAGTAATTGCTAACTGCATAGAATGTATACTGTACAACAGAGCAAGAAAAGCAGAAGGATTTCTTCATCCTGTACCGCAAGAAAACGTTCCTTTGAATACGTACCATATCGACTTCATTGGACCTCTTCCATCGACGAACAAGAGATACCAACACATTCTAACTGTTGTCAACGCTTTTACGAAATTTACTTGGTTCTATCCAGTGAAATCACCAACTATGCAAGAAGTTATTTCAAAATTGAAACAATAACAGACTGTATTTGGAAATTCAGCCAGAATCATTTCAGATCAAGATAGTGCCTTTACATCGAAAGAATTTTCAGCTTATTGTACTGAAGAAGGAATAGAACATGTCAAAATTACTACCGGTATTCCAAGAGGTAACGGACAAATGAGCGAATTCATAGAATTTTGATTCCTGTTTTGTCAAAATTATCACATGAAGATTCAACGAATGGTTTAAGTATGTTCCAAAATGTACAGAGAATAAACAGTATGACTACGAGAAGTACGAAATATTCACCGTTTGAGCTTCTCATAGGCACGAAATGAAGAATAAAGAAGATCTGAGAATTAGTGAGATATTGAATGAAGAATATTTAAAGCAATTGATACAAGAACGTGATGAATGAAGATGCGAAAAACAACATTTTGAAGATTCAAGAAGACCGTAAACAATTCAACAAGAAACGTAAGAAACCGAAAACTGTACAGATTGGCGACTTAGTAGCCATTCAGAGAACTAATATGGGACTGGTTTGAAACTAGGCCAAAATTCATGGGACCGTATAAAAATCATAGCTGTAAGACAATGACAGATATGAAGTCAGAAAGTAGGATGCCATGAAGGACCGAATTTGACATCCACTGCGGCTGACCATATGAAGCCATGGTCACATTGATTTGATGTTTGTATCAGCTCAAAACCTAAGGACCTGATACTCTTTTTTTTCTTTTTTTTTTTTTCTTGTTTTTTTTTTATTATCTTTGCAGGTACATGATATGATGGTGATGTCCATTCAACAGACATCGAAGACGATGCCTCTTCAGGCTGGCCGAAGCTGTGGGAGTCATCAACGTCTGGTGCTGAATTAGAATTGCCAGTAGTGACGTCATCAGTATAGCATCACCCAGCTCAGTGAGAATCATCCCAGGCAGCGGGAGATCGCTTCCAGATGTAGATACGAGCAGACGGCTCGTATGCCTTCAAACGTTTGAGAAGACGTACGGTCTTCTCATGTCTAGCTGAAGTCTCTTGATTTTATGCCTTTAGTTGTGATGACTCTAGATGATCATACTATTTAAAGCTATGCACAAATGTTTGTGTAAAAGGACTGCATCATTATGTTAATCCTGCATACCGTTAACTTCATCTTTACTTATTTACTTTTCTTATTTTTATTTCTTTCTATTAAATAAATCATATTAAAATTAAATTATTCGTGCTCTCAATGCTCTGCTGAGTTAAAACGAATTCTACATATATATATATATACACACACACAAATTCTGCAAAATACACCAAAAATACTGACCTAAGTTTTATCTTTCGAACTGCTAATGCTATAAAATGCAACTGAAACATTTTCTTTAAATTACGAGTAGAAATAAATTTTCCATTCCTAAAAATTATTAAAAACATAAAATTAAAAGTGCTAACAATATTTTTTATGCAGTCTAAAGCCTTAAAAAGTCTTTCAAATTCAGCTAGGTTCAATCTATTTTAAAAATAGAAGTAAAAAATATTAGGACATTTTAGGAACGCTGCTGATCTGGAAACTGAAGTCTTACAAACTCTATTAGACAGGTTATTGAGTTATCACTACACCGCAAATATTATGACAAAGTATTGAGAAGGTTTAAATAATCTTTTTATTTAATCTGAATTTTTAACATAAAAGACACAAGCGATAGATTAACCACAAATTGTGGCAATGTAAATTAAGCAACAACAGACAGTTTAAATTAAACACTAATCAAGTAGTCTAAGACTACACAGTTAAATAAAGAAGCTATAAAGCTGGCTCAACATTTTTCTGGCAAATAAAGTTAAAACATTGGCTAGCTAGAGAATGCAAAAGCAGGAATAATCACTTTTAAATAGAGTTGGCAAAATTCTAACAGCGCAGAGCAAGTCCCAGACACATTCTCTTTCTAAGATTCAAAAACCTTACCTTATATACTCTAAAAGTTAATATGCATTCTGTTGATTAATATGAAAAAAGTTATAGTAGTTATAGTACAGATCAAAATCATAATAACTGGCTAATTTACATAAGCATCTTACAATACATTTATTAGTTCATTTACCTACCTGAATAAAGAGAAGTGCTTTCTCTAATTCAGCTTTACTGCAATGGCGCACAAAGTGTGAAAAGATAAAAGGAAAGTTATTAATTAGAAGTTCACCTTTTTCAACATGTAAGATTACTGACAGTGATGATAATAATATCAATGAAAATCCAGTTTCTCTACATACAACATAAGGAAGAATGGTACGCTGAATATGCTGTAAAAAAGAAAATCATAATATATAAAATGGAACAACTATATTCATAATAAAAACAAAATTTTTATATGTTTCACTGATCCCATTAATAAATAAAAAATTGCAAAAGTACTTTTCACTAAATATTATATTTACATATGAATGACAGCATGATTTTATAGCAAAATGATAATTCATTGTCATTTATTAAATATTAAAAAAATTTCACACATGATAAATATATTAACACTTTCATGAAAAATAAATTCAGTTATGTTTTAATTTATTGCAATATTTTATAAGAGAACCAGCTTATATTCATATTCCACAATGAAAACACACTTATATTTTTTATTTTGGAAATACCAAATTAGCTTATTCCCCCAATGTGCATACTATATATATGTAACAGATTTTGTAGTATAACGCAGGCGATTGAATCCATAATGAACAGCGAGAATTTTGATGTCGTAGATTGCTGAAACGCCAATCCACAATAAATAAGAAATTTGGCAGTCAAGGTATATTTATTTCAGTAAACATGTTGCAGCCCCAATCAAGTTGGCACATTAATTGTGCCTATTCCAAAAAATTTACATTTTAGATAAATTTGCAGAAAGAAGGAGTAGATAGACTGCAGTCCTGTCAGGCCATAGCATAGAAAGCAAGTGCATGATGTTCAGGGTGAAATCTTAATTCAGACTGAGTTAGTTTTGGTTCTCAATGCATTTTGATTGGATAGTTATTACTGCTTTGGTGTTTTAGTTCAATTTACATCATCAGAATTATGTGACATGGTTTAATCTTGTCATATGACACGGATTAATCTTGAAATGACACAGTGCAAACAGAGGTTACTATTTTTAGAATAGAGAAGGGAAATTAATTTACGCTGCTAATTTAATCTTTTACATATTCTTTATATTCCTTACATATACCCCCCCCCCCAATTCAAGGAGAAAAATGCGTAGCAGAGGAAGCCTTTTTAAAGAAAAAGTATTAAAGCTCTAGAAATGAAAAAAAAAAAAAATGTAAATCATAAAATTTTGATCAGCAATTTTTAAATAAACAACTCTAAAGTATAATTATAAATATAAATTTTTAAAAAATAAATTTAATTTTTAAACTCTTTTTAAATTTTTTAGTATTTCAGTCCAAAAGTTTTTTTGGTTTAAAGTTCACATAATCATGATACTTAAGGGAAGGATCTTCTTGTCACAGAGTATCACAAATAAAAACTTTTGCATAATCATTACTTATAATTAAATGTAAGACACATAAATATTTATGATTCTAATTTCCATATTGATAAATTATATTTTAACACCGTAAATAATAGGAGTAACATTTTCAGATATTATGGTTTCACCGTTATTATCTTTCATTTGCAATTCCTTATTTTACCAAACTGAAGGCCTCGCAATACTTCTAAACAAACATTCCTATCAGTAGGGCTATCCTCTTGAGCTAAAAAACTTTTGCATAATCATTACTTATAATTAAATGTAAGACACATAAATATTTATGATTCTAATTTCCATATTGATAAATTATATTTTAACACCGTAAATAATAGGAGTAACATTTTCAGATATTATGGTTTCACCGTTATTATCTTTCATTTGCAATTCCTTATTTTACCAAACTGAAGGCCTCGCAATACTTCTAAACAAACATTCCTATCAGTAGGGCTATCCTCTTGAGCTAACCAGTGCGTTCTGCACTAGTGGCTCAGGGTGCCTAAGCAGTTACTTGAAAAGGCCTCTGTTTTTTGCATAAGTTAACTGGCCTTTGTGAACTACACTAATACACTTCATAATAAAAAAAGGTTTAATAATAATATATATAAAATTACACTCAATCATAAAATGAGAGCTTCAATATTATCTTATATGAAGAGGGTAAATGAACAACTACACAGAGGTAATAAAAGGCCTCTGTTTTGGAACCAGTACTCCCTCAACATACTCTATACTTAACATACAGTCAGTCGCCCATAAATTTTGACATGAATTTACCTCAATTTCAAATTATTTATCTGTATTAATATCCCATATTTCTTTAATGTTTTCAAGATAAACGTTGAAGAAATTAATAGAATTTAAAATTTTCAAACAATATTCTTAAAAAATTACAAAAATTCAAAAATATACATTTGGATACATTTAAACAATAATACAAAAATATTAATCATATAAGGAACCTTCCCTAAGTAAAATACTAAAAATTCATTACTTAACTTTTATCAAATTAAGTTTTTTTAAACTCAAATATACAAAACTACATTATAAATAAATCATAAAAATTTTTAATTGATGATTTTCACCTTAAAATGATTTAAACAAAATATTACTATCAATTACTCGTAAAGCAATGCAATTGCTTATATATGCTAAGTTATTTTAAAATTTAATTTATTCAATTAAAATATTTTGGCTTTGTAAATGAAATTCACCCCCCCCTCCCAAAAAAAGCTGTAAAAAAATGACACCCAAAATCAGTTATTTTGCATTTTAATAATTTTAATACCTGATTAAAAAAATCTGTAGCACAACCAAAATGGATTTTTGCTGTTATATAAGAAATTTTGTTAGTGAATTATCTATGATAAAATATTATACTTTAGAAGAGGATTTCCAAAACTAAAAGCTCAGAATTATTCATGGAATATTCCAAAGAGTTTTAATTAATATTTTTTTGAAAAACACAAGCTATATTTTTTTAGAGAGTGGGGCATAAATTACAGTACTATTGACTTTCTTTGTAATTTTTAACTTTATCCATGAAATATTAATTTAACAATTTAAAAGTAATCATTGCGATAAAAATAAACATTCAACAATTATTTTTATAATTATGGATCTGTGTGATTTCTTTCACACAATTTAAGCAAAAAGATTTTTAAGTTTAAAAGGGAAACTTTAAAATTAAATATATTTAAAAACAATTTTATTATCAAACCTGTTTTATAAAAAATGTAGAACTTCCAAATTTGTTTCATTATGAAATGTTTGGTTAGCTGAAATAGCTGCATCAGAGTGTTTTTAGATAAGCTTGATTGCATTGTATGCAAAATCAAGCAAAATAAAGTAGAAAATGTAAATTTACATTCAGTACATTTTATAATTTATTTAAAACTTCCTTGTTTTCAAATAATCTACATACAGTATTTTTCAACTCATATGATTGCTTTTCACAATAAAAAAATAAATTATCATCATACAAATATAGCTTTGTTATTACTTTGTAATTTCTTACTAATGTGATTTTTCATAATTTCATGGTGAAATTTCCTCCAAATCAAGCATGGATGATTACAAATATTAAAAAGTGCATTTCAAAGCTGAGCAAAATATAAATATAAAATATGATAAACATGGAAATGAAATTATCAATGCAAGGTGGAAAATTAAAATGCCCTGCAAAATTTAGTCCTTTTTATCAGTGTTATTAAGGAATTAATTACCATTTTTAAAACATTCTCCTTCATAATCTAATACACTGTTTAAAAAACAAATTCAAGTGATGCTCAGGAAAAAAAAGGGCTTAGCAAAAGTAATTACATTTTATAATCAATATTATTACAAGATTTTAACAAATCCATTGACAAGCTATTTATGGAGCTATACAAAAAAAAAAAAAAAAAAAAAAAAAACTTCCTACTCTTTCATTAATATTTACTAGCATTTGATGATTCTAAAACTCTTTAATGTTAGGACCAAGATTCATAATGTTGTGAAGAAAATCACAAAATAATTTTTTTAGAACTTAAAAAAAAAAAAAAAAAAAAAAAAAACATTTTAGAAGATAATTTTTTCAAAGATAAACAACAAACACTTTTTCACATAGGCTATATCAAAGCAAAATAAATTTATGGACAAACCCAAAATGCAATCTATGCATTCTTTAAGATTAAGAGCAAACATAAAATTTTAAAGTATGCACTTACAAATGTATGTTCAGACACAATACCTAAGTAAAATACCTCGGACAACTGATTAACAACATGATAAGAATATTAAATGATGAAAATACAATCAGTTGCCTTAAGAAAATGCTTTTAAAGTATCTTATAATAAAATAATATATAGAAAAACAAGTTTCTAGTTAATACGTAATAAACTAAAAACTGCAAGACCAGAAAAATGAACTTACATTTATGAAGAGTTTAAGATCATTATAACCAAAGACAGTTCTTATCTCTTCAAAGATAATTATGGCCTCAGAAACACTCTGCAGATTTCTTGTGAACATAAATTCAGCTAAAAACTTTAAGACGGAAAAGTTTATCACAAATAAATAAAATCCATAGATTTCATAAACACAATATATAAATACTACATAATGCAAATCATAGGCAAAATCTGGTATCAGACAGCAGAAAAAAGGATCACATTACATGGAGCATCAATATGCGAAATGAACATCTCATCTCATATGGAGAATCATTATAAATCTGTACAATACCCCTTCCTCTTGAGAAGTTGCCATACTTTCCCTAGCAATGATTTGAATTTCCTTGTGGACATTCCTCCTCTATATTTAGTTTCCCAGAAAAAATTTAACCCTCAGATTGAAAGTGAATTGTACTCTCTGGTATAATACATTTATTCATACAGATTATGAAAAAAAGTATTCTCCGGCCACATTGCTATCTAGTTGAATTTGATATTACAATGGAATAGGTAGCATTGCTTTCACTGTTACACCCACATTAAGGGCAATCCACACAGATATTACCAAAGGTGATGTAGGAACAGGAAGTGAATACAGTATGCTGAATGGCATAAACAGAGTAAGCATATAGACCAGAAGACTTAACAACAATAACCCTGTCTTTTAAAAGCAGTGAGCTGCCTTGGATGTGGCAGAGTTTTTGAATTTCTAATGGTTTTTAGTACCTCTATATGTGTGGCGAGATTGGTAACCATTATACATGCCCTGATTTTAGTAATACATCTTTACTTGTATCTACTGCTTGCCCTTATTTTCATGCCCAACTTATACTATAATACTGAAATAGCAGTGCCCCAACTTTTATGTTTCCCCCTTGTTTTGGCACTTCTTTCAATAACCTCACTATCATCAGGTCCAGGAAAACAATGCACTAAGCTGTAGTTTTTTTTTTTTTTTTTTTTTTTTTTTTTTTTTTTTAAATTCTGTCAACAGGATCCAACAGATTGATGAGCCCCTAACACAGTAGACTGGCAGTTCTGTTGATGGCAAAAAGAAAGTTCCTAGGGAAAAAATAATTTCTTTCAGCAATAAAATCAATACAAAGCTTATTTGAGTACAAAGATAACTGTAATGGCAGAATCTAATAATTGACTAACCAGATGAATGTATGTTGGTGAACAACATAAATTATGGTTTTAAACATCTCATCCCTCATATGCAAAAATATAAAAAGTGCAAAAAGCAGTGCCAGACATTTATTGAATTTCATTAGAAAAATAATTTGAGCAGAAACAGAATACTAATTCAGAAGTCAAACAACAAAAATCAGCATTATATTTACAAAATTTTCACAGAAACATTATATTTACAAAATTTCACTTAATCTGTAAAAATTTTGTAAATATAATGCTGATTTTTGTTGTTTGACTTCTGAATTAGTATTTATTCAGCGTGTTATTGTGTCTTAATTATAGAAACAGAATGTTTCAAATTCTAAATATCATTCCCCCCCCTCCCCTAGTTGGACTAAAAAATTAGCACATACTGTTTAAATTTCAATATACTCAACGGGAAAAGAACGTGGCTTTTCCCTTTAAAAGCATGTTATTAACAAAACACTTTCCTTTAGAGAAGGAGCACACTGCTTGTATTTGAAAAAATTCAACTATTTTATTTGAAATTTAATACCTAACAAAAATTAATACCAGTTATTAAAAATCAATTTGGTAGGTATCTATCCATTGTCACTTTATACACAAGATGAGAGTCAGTTTTTAAGGAAATGACTATCTTTGTATATCACATTTCATTTGCAAGTAAGATATTTAAACGATCTGGTTTACAATGAAAGATTAAAGCCCACTAGTGCCATTAAATTTTTATGATGAGGATATTTCTGAAGTTTCACAGCTGTAGAAGTGGGATCTAAGTCCACAAACATTATCAGCATAACAAAAGAAAACACTTTAGCAATATAAAATACAAATTATTAAGTAAGGATTACATGATACAAAAATAAATATTAATAAAACATTTTTCGCAAAATTATTCTATAATTTTTTGTTCTTCTAGTGTATAGAGCAACATATTTTTGCTTAAAAAAATCAAAAGGAACAGCATAAACATGGCATTGTACACAACTTATTATTATCTATGTATCAGCACTGCTGCATCTTCAGCAACAGGCTATCTATTAACTGTATCTCATCATTGTTCCCTTCTGTAATTTTGCAGCAAAATACTGTATTCCTTCAGAAAGTTTACTGCAATTTTTTTACACTGCTGACAAAATTCTGCAAACAAATATTTTAAAATTGAGTTTAGAACAGAAAATATCCTGCTTTGTCTACAAAAACCGTTGGAATTTAGAATATAATAAAAAGAATGCATATGAAAATAGTGACTGAAGAATGTTATGAATATTGTTCCTGAAGAACATTTTTACACAACTGACAGAGTTTATCGACTTCTACTAAGCTAGTTGTGATAATATGCAAGTACTGAATCAGATACTTTTCAATAATTTTCTTAAAAGAATTAATTTTAATTACACAATTAAATAGAACATTTTATACATCAATTTTTGAATTTACTTGTACTATTAGTTTGAGTAATAAGTACCGGAATTAGAGTATAAATAACTCGAACATTATAAGAATGATTAATAATAAAGCACAAAATAAAAAATTTGCAATTGAGTTGGACAGAATCATGAAAGAAACATATGTTAATTCAAAATGCCAGGTCTCACATTTGGACATACAACACAAAATACTATGCATGAAGGTCAAATGGGAAAATTGAATGGGTAATATTGGGATCTGCATGGATATCAAGATATCTGGATAAAAAACTGAAGAACATCAAGATAAATATGAGAATACCCATGTTAATGTAAAAGTTTAATGACATCCCACTGAAAATATGTTGCACACTTTCAGTCCTTTCTTAATACTTTAAAGCATGCAATATGAAATGAAAGTGCAAACATAGTCCTAACACCACTAATATTTTTCACTAGAACTCACCCTTTTTTACTTTTTTTAAATAAGCTGTTAATACATACTTAATGTAAAAAATGTTAATGCTTTATACGATTTTTTTAATTTAACAGCATAACAAATTTTGTAAAAGTATAAAAAAGCAACATTAGAAACAATAATAATAATCCAAATACCTTACAGACTGGATCCTTATATGCTTTAAACAAATCTGACATCTTTAAATACTTTGAATCAGCAATTTCCTTCAGCTTTTAGGAGAAAAAATTTTAATAATATATGATAGAGAAACACAAGAATTTCATAAGTACTTATCAAACATGCATCATTTAGAGTTAATAAAATATTGCTTTTATGTTTTACGTATGTAAAGCAAAGTGTTTGTATGAGAAGTTTTCCAAAAAACCCTGGAAATTTTTTTAATTGGTTTTTTTACAAGTTCAATGAAAAATATAAAAGTAATTTTCAATATAAAATTTCTATATGAAACATGTCTAGAAAATAAGATCTATTCATAAACAATAGTTAATTTAATAAAATCTTATTTTGTATCAAAAATTTAATCTTTAATTAGCATGTATTTGAATGATTTTTCAATGGCAGTCTGAATCTCATAAAATCACTACTGGACAGGAAATATCAAGGGAAACAGCACATGAAAAAATATCTGTTGCTGAAATAGATTTTAAAACCAATCTTGGATCAAAATGCATTTGAGAAAAAAATTATTTTAATACAGTAAAAGCTTGCATTTAATTATTTAAAATCACTTAAAGATTTATCAGCAACTTAATAATTCCCAAAAGACATTATGCCCTGAAGAAAAGTCTTTAGAGGAGGATAATGAGGTGTAACAAGTTCAAAGATGAAACTCAGTAGAGAGGGAAGGGCAGAACTCTGGCTCTTAGCTCAGTCTTAATGAATATTTTATACGAAATAAATACAGAAATTTCAAAATTGCACAGTGTATATTCACCTCAACATAAAGTTTTTCTAAATATTTCATACTGAAATAATATATTTCATACTGAAATAATATATTTCACTGTTTTCAAAATATGTTGCTTTATTAAATACATGAGATTGATTACTTTATACATGGCAAAGCCTTCAATATATGACCAGTAAAAAATAACTTCATGCAAAACTCACTGAAAACTGGTTCATAATTATGTTATACACTGGACAAGAGATATCATGCAGGCAGCCCACTCCATTACTTGGAATTAATTTATGTATCAGGAGCTTAGATATGTGGCCATTGCTAGGCATGTCCTCTCAAAAATGAATCTTTAATGCAACTAACAGAGAGCAGAGAACTTTTTGAAATTAGGATCAAAATTTTTAGCAACATGCCCAGTAACGAAAGTGATTTCTAATTGCAGATACAAAGTTAAAGATATAGGCAATCATTTGGGACCTATCATCTATTTCTGCTGACATGATGAAATATCTTATAAAGGACTACCCATTGATTCGGATGATTTATATCAGAAACAGGCATTCTTCTAAGGCCCAAATTCAGACATCCAATATCCCGAGTGATCTACAATCCAAACCTCCGGACCACCAACAACTTTCTTTAAAAAAATATTGTATGCTTTATGCATGCACATTTGATACTTTTTCACATTAAAAACATGTACAGAGTTCCTATTCTTTTGATACTTTTTCATAATAAAACATATTGTATGCTTTATGCATGCACATGTGTTTCTGATGTAAATCCTCCGAATCAATGGGTAGTCCTTTATAAGATGTCATGTCAGCAGAAATAGGTGATAGGTCCCAAATGATTGCCTATATCTTTAACTATGTATCTGCTCTTATGCAATTATGCAATAGAAGTAAGACAAAATTTAGTGGAACACATGTCTTTAGTTGCCAATCTCATGCTACATTGTCAACAGTGTATAATGGACACTCGCTAAGCTTTATTGTGATAGCCGCAAATATGAAGGTTTTCAGATATCACAAACAGAAAGTGAAATTTTCCAATTAATGGAATTGTGAAGAAAAACAGACAAGTGGTATTTATTAAATGAAGAAGACATAACAGAAGTTTTTCACTGTGATTACAATTGCCCTACTCATAAATCAATTAACAGACAGCAAAATCTGTAATATAGATTCTAAATTCAGAAAATATCACTATCAATAGTGAAGTAAGTGACAGAGAAGTTGTTAAGAAGAACAAAAACAAAACAAAAAAATTCAGTTGACAATTTAGTGGAAATTCTTGACATGTCAATTTTAGGACTTGAACAATGGAATATTTATAAGTGAAAAAGAAATTATATCTATCAATAAAATTAAACAGAAGGTATTAGCACAAAAAATGAAACATCTTAAACAATTTACATTGAAAGAAATGTTTAATAAAACAAAAAATATATATAATTTTTTTGTGTAAATTTTGATATTTTAAACATATAAGCATTCATAAATGCTTCATTATTTCATAAACCATTATTTCATATATTTATTTTTATAAAATTACAACAATCATCTTACTAATTTTATACTAATGACCTAATACCCAGAAAAATCCCAAATTCAGAATTGCCAAAGTCTCACTTATTTTTCACTTTGTCCTATTATTATTTTCTGTGAGTTATTTTAAATTTATATTTCTCAAAAGATTTTACTTATTTTTTTATTTATTTTTGTTTGTTTAATTGTGTTTATTGAATTTATAGTCTGCATAGTATGTGATGAAAACTAAGAAAATTTTTAATACTTTAAAGTGTCAATCACGTCACTGATCTCTAGGATGGCCGAATGTGTTATCTATTCATTAGTTATCTATTTATATATCTCTTGAATTTCCTGACAACATTTCAAAAGATAAATCATGGGTGAATTTCAGAAACGGAACAGTGGATTTGTTTTGATGGTCTGTGAGTTAATGTTGAGAGGGACAGCCTCCATAAGATTTCTGCAATAGTATATGTTTATAACAGATTTCTGCAATAGTATATGTTTATAACAGATTTCTGCAATAGTGCATGTTTATATTATAATTATGTTTTTCTTTAGTAAAAGCAAATGTGGTTGTTAAAAAGAAAGGACTCATCAGCACATAAAACACCCACAGACAGACCATACCACATGTATCTAAATTCCAACTGAAATTACTTAAATGGCCATATTTATTTTAATTTTTAAATAAAAAAAGGAGAGGGAAGAGTAAAAGAGAAAAATGAACAAATATAAAATTTTGAATATGTACAATCAAAATCTTCTTTAAAATATATATATATCATAAATTCTTCACAAAATAACAGGATGTCTTATTAGCACACCAAATGGATTCTGCTTTATGTCCCCCCCCCCAAAAAAAATTATATTTGCTCTAAAATTACATGATTTCTGCTAATAAAAATATGCAACATAAATGTTAAACTAATATTTAAATTAATTCATGTACTTAGATGCTCTAAAATAAAGTCATCATTCATTTTAATAGCTTCAGACCAAAAAACTATGGAAAGATATAATCAATCAATCAATAAAAAGATCAATAAAATATTTAAATACATTATAATAAGTTAATACAGTAAACTCCTGATTAACCATAATATTGAGGATAACATGCATAAATGCAAAATCATGGCTAATCCAAAGGTAGTTAAAAAAAAGGCAACACGAAAGTGGAATAACCAGTATTATAACTCACAGAAAAATACTATTTAAAACTTTCCAGTATTTTTAAGCAACTTAATCAGAATTAATCACTTAGTTGCATAAATTAAATCAGTATTCAAAGCAAAAAGAACACGACAAAAGAATACACCCCATAGAAAGAAAAATGCCAAGATATGAATGCCATTCAAAAACAATGTCCATTAAAAAAACTTGAATGACATTCAAACTTGCACAAAATGTCAAAACATTTCGTTATCTGGCAGAGTTTGCATTTTATACAAACAATGACCTTATTTTGTAAAATGTCATGTTATCACTTTACTGTTCATACAAGACAGCTGTCCTGCTCTTTCAAGTAATCAAGAAGGCAGCAATAAAGCAAAATCAAACAATCAAAGCCAAAGCTTATGTGCATAGGTGGAGTGTTTTAGAAAATCTGAGGAAATACCAAGCCAGCATGAGGGTGAAAGGAAAGAAACAAATAGGACAGCACCTGCCAATTACTCATTGTATAACTGCTGTTTGCTTTTGCTTGCATTACTTCGTATTTCAGTAAAAATCAAAGTGAAATTAAAAAAAAAAAAAAAAAAAAAAAAACTTATGGCTATATACTTGATTCATGTTTAAAATTGAACAGTTTACTTTTAATGTCCGATTTAACAATTTTATATATTCCAGATTATGAATAATTAATCTATCATACAATATGATAGGCAAATTGTGTCATTGCTCATTAGTATACGAAGTTGCAGGAATAGGGAAGGGAGAAGAATGACTGAGAGGAAGAAGTGGTTGTGGGATGTGCTCAAGGAGGAGCCAATAAATATTCACCACTGAAGAGCAAGGACATGGACATGGTGGGGCACTCTCGAAAGGGGCAACGAAAACCAAATATGTTTTATCACTTTCTGTGTTTAGATTGTGCCTTTTGTATCGGAAAAAAAGAAATCACGAGTGTTTTTGTTATTTACTTTCTAAAGGTATGCCTCCTAAATGCATTATTTAATTTACCTATTTAAATTATGCTTTCTATATGCCATCGAATTAATAAACATTATAAATTAAAAAAAATGCTTGCCCCTGAGCATAGAACAGGTACTTCAGCTACTTCCCAAATATTATAACATCATCTGTTATTGCTGCTGTCATTCCCCAAATTTCTCTAGATCACAAACAATCTCAAATATTATACCATCTGTTATCACTGCTATTATTCTATGTATTTATCTTTTTCTCTTTGTATACAGTTTTATTTTACTCTGATGGTTATTGTGTGATGTAGCCACTCCTCAATAAACACTAATGCTGGCTAGCTCTAAAAGAATTTATTAACAGAGCACACAAGAACGGTTACAAACAAATATATATATATATATATATATATATATACATAAAAATGAAGCATATACCAAATGGAATATCAAACATTAGAATTACATAGACATCTAGTACATAACACCTATCATCATTGCGGCTGGAGGTCGACTGCCGTTTTTTCTCTTCGCCATTAGATGGCGTTCAATACAATAGTTCGGTTACAGTTAAATAGTTCTGTTACAATTAACAGTAATTTTTTCTGTCATTCCATAATAAACAAACTTAACTTTTTACATGGGTTTAATCCACAGCCCAGTTAACCCGTCTCTGCTGAAGGGAAGATTTCTGCATTTTTTATTTTTAATACTTCCTTATTAAGTATCCATAAAAAATTTTTATAAAGAACTTTTAATGAAATTTATTTGCTATATGCTAATTTAAAATAGTACCAGAAATGAAAATTTCATGACTCAAGGTATAATCCAAATTTTTGAAAATGTTTTATACAATAATTTTCAATATTCTTACTTTTGAAAATGCAACGACTTTAGCAGATGGAATTGAAGTCATGTAAGCTTCCAGAAGACTTATGACAGAAATCAGAAGTAATCCATCATCAGCTACTTTTCCAAGTTCTCCAATGCTAAATATCACAGTTTTTTGAAAATCTATGTTTCCACTGTCCTTTGATGTAAGAAGAGCTGACTTTAAACTTGTAATTAAAATCTCATCTAATTTCTCTAAGATTTTGACATTTCTTTCTTTTTCAAATTGTAATCTTAATATAGAGCCAATAATTTCACTAAGAACAGAACAGAAAATTATATACAAATATTTTTGCTCTTATGTTATTAAAATCAAATCAACAATGAAAAATATTATTACAGTGTACATTATAAAAACTATATTAAAATCTCATTATAAATACATTATTAAGATATATACAGTCAAAAGTCTTTAATCCAGACATCCATAATCCGGACCTCAAAGCTACAAACTTTCTGTGCATGCATTGCGCTTACGCATACGCATAATATGTTTACGCATGCGTGTTTAATCTATAATGGACGGTATAAGCTAAGCTAAAATTATGTAATTCAGTTAATGTTGCAGATTGCGTCGTTCCTTAATCTTCTAATTGGATCCGGGTTATTATTTTTTGCAGACTGTTAGAGCAATTTTATAAAAGTAAGCTTGAACTTTTGGTTATGTCAAAAAGAATTTCTGATTCTGGAGCTGCCAAAGGATCTACAAAGCGAAAGCATGTTTCGATGTCCATCAAACAAAAAGTGGAATTGCTGCAAAAAATGGATAAAGACATATCCTTTGTTTCTCTAACCATTCCGAAATCTGTTTATCAATTTGACGCTGCTCTGCGGGGGGGGGGGGGGGTCAGCAGCACGCAATGAACTGGAAGTTGATCTGTCAGCACTATCCTTATCTTCAGGGCAGGTGTTATTATTTTATTCGGCTTATAATTCCTTACTCAATGTAGTATTTTCATCTCGATGCACTTCGTCTTTGATATGCTTTAAATCAAATTCTTTGTCATTATAAATATCACGGATACACATCAAATAGTTTTCTGGCTGCGATTTTCTAATTTCGACTATGTGTAATGTATGCTTTACGCATGCACGCGTTGAAAGAAATGTTTAATAGAGTAAACAAATAAATATTAAGCTCTTTTTTTTTTTTTTTTTTTATAAATTTTGATACCCTTTTGATCATAATTGCTCTTTATTTCATAAATTACGGTTTCATATTTTTAATTTTATAATTTCTGCATGCCATTTAAACTGATGATCTATAATCCAGAAAAACCGATTCTCCGGAATCGCCGAAGTCCCGACGAGTCCGGACTGTATATATGTGTATATATATGTATATTATCATATAGCTCTGCAAGAGTAAAGCTTAAATTCAACTAGGAGCAAACCTTTGGTGCTTTTAAATTTTAAAAAGAAACTGCAATTCCAACCGCAGTTTTCCACATCCTCAAATGAGATGACTGCATTATGAAACTGAATCATAATAACAGGAAATTCTGTTATTTATGTAACTCTTTTTTCCCCCAGAGAAAAACAAAATACATAAAAAATTTGAACAGCTAGTGAGAAACATTTTGCATCAAAGTGCAATCTCTTCAGAAATATGAAATGTATATATATTAAATATCAAAATATAGTAAAAATTTTATCTGTCCACTATAAATACTATTAAAAATATTTACTTTTATTTGTTCTTGGTATTACGTTTTGCTATTATCAATTTAATTCCATGTGTTTTACTAATTTATTTAATTTTTATGATACATTTAATCCCTAATTTATCATTAATTTAATTCATAAATGATTTATTCATGTCATTATACATTTTTAATTACTTATTATTTTGTCATTTTGACCATTATTTATTTATTTTTGTTCACATTTCCAGATTTTTTTTTTTTTTTTTTTTTTTTTTTTTTTTTTTTTTTTTTTTTTTTTACAAATTTATAATTTTAATTATAAAACTATTTTACCTGAATTTTCTTCTAACTACAGGGTCTGGGTCTATTAGTAACCTCATAAGAACCAGAAGCATGCTTTCACAAATTTTATTATGAACAAAATATGGTAACATATTTGCTACACATTCTGAAAGAAAAATTACATTTATCTGTAAATACAGTCATCTAAATAAATTTATAATCACACATCAAACATTTATGAAAGCTATGCACATTTTTCTTTATACATATAAGTATACATTTAAATTAATTGTAATAAATTGCCTAATACATGTGCAAAAGCTGCAAAGTAATAAAATAATAATTTATTTACTAATGGGAATATTTAGTATATTATCTCCTTTGATAAAAGTAATTAAAATTCCATTGAATTGAAGTAATTTATAAGCATATTTGAAAAATGAATCTTGAAAATTTTTAAAATGGAAACATCAAAAATGAATCAAGAATAAATTTAAAATGGAAACTTTTAAAAAAAAGGTACAATTAAAATTGAAAATATAATAAATAAGACAGGAAATTAGTTGCCTTTTTAAGGAGAAAAAACCAAGCTCCAATCAATTAACTATATAATTATAAATAATTGTAGTTAATAATTATTTATAATTAATAAATGCAAAGGAGTTTCATCTTTTACTCAAGTAAAAAATTATTATGCCAATCAGGTATTTATAAGATGAGTTTAAGCTAAGTAAGTAGAGTTTAAGTGAGATGAATTTAAGTATGACACACATTTGGAATTCAGTATGAAAGTGGCTGTTGTGTCAAGTTTAAAAATAAATTTCAAAATTATGAGATATTATTGCAAGAGTGAGTAATAGTAATTTCTTGAGTAAAATGCCCCCAACACCTTCGCCTTTAATCATGTTAACTCAGTGTAAACTTTGTAAACATAATGATCAAAATGCAATCTTATGCAAAAGGTAGGAAGCTTAATTCCAAAAATTGTTTTAAAGTAACTTGAATGTAAATTGTTGAAAACGTTTTACAGGGACTAGAATTAAATCATGAATAACAAAATTTCAAACTTTGAAAAAAATTTTAAGGGACTAGAATTAAATCATGAATAACAAAATTTCAAACTTTGAAAAAAAAATTAAATTAAAAGCAAGTAATTATTGCTATTGATCGGAAATTAGTTGACTTTTCAAGGGGAATAAACCAACTTCTGTTCAATGAACAATAATTAATAAATATGAAGGTGTTTAGTCTTTTACTCAAGTAATAATGGTGATGCCAAACTGGGAAATTAAGTTAGGCCAAATAGTTCCGTGAAGTGAAGGTATTTAGAACCAAAGTAGAGTACCAAAGAACTCATTCTGAATTAAGCATTTTCACTAATACAAATTTTGAGTGAAAAGCAATTTATGTAGTAAAATTGATAGATATAATGCAATAAATATATATAGATATAACACAAAATAAATTAAAATAAATACTTTTAAAATTCATCGTGAAAAGCACTTCTACACCTTACTTATACTAACATTCTAACCACGTATAACCCATGCCATTAAAAAAAAATTGCATACTTTATCCCTAGAATGCATTCAAATGAAAATCTCAAAGGTTTCTAATTCATTGGCGAATGTGTGTATAGTTGCATTGTATAAAATTTCATAAATTTCCTAAATTGTATTTCATAAAAAGTACATTTCTGGTGTAAATTCTTTCAGATTCCAAAAATGTACTTTTCATTAAAAAAAAAAAAAAAAAAAAGTGAATTTTTAATTCTCACTTATGTAAAGTAGAAGAGCCTAATTATAGTTCACAATGTTTTAGTTTTACAATATAAATCTGGAAAAGAAAAACAATTCTTTGCATTCAAATAAACAACACAAAGAAAATAAAAAGATACTGTAAAATGTAAATACTCCTTTAAACAATACAAAGGAATTGAAATTCTAATATACCTCTTCTAACAGATTCAGATGGGTGTTTAAGTAGATACACCAACAAATCTGCAAGCCAGTCTGAGCATACAAAGTCAGAATTCATCCGTGAATCTTCTAAAATAATGAAAAGCAATTTAAAATTCAAATATTTTACAATTTAGAAAGCTTAAATTAAACTGTAAAATAACTGAATACTGAAAATGATAATTATTAAAATGTTAGAAGATAATTTAATTCATGAATTTCCTGCCTAAATAATCAAATTAAATACATTTTCCTCATTACACCATTTCACTGAAACCTGAAGATGAGCTAAGACATAAGGATAACATAAATTTTGAAGTTAAAAATAGAATGATACACATTATAAAGAACATAATCATAAACATAACGTATATATAAAAATTGAGAAATAAAAGAATGGTCTAGAAATTAAATGTATGTCATTCACAACCAAAAAAATTAAATACAGGTAAAGTTATCAAAAATATATTTTTATTAATAGCAAGGAAAATTTTCACTTACTGTTTTCGCATTTTATGCACAGAACTTGTGGTATTAATCCTAATAAACCCTCAGATAAGCACTTTCTGAGGAAAATAAAGCACATTACACTAAAACTAGAAATATAATAGACTTGAAAAGGAAGAAATTTAAATAATTATATTAAATTTTAAAGTAAAAAAACTATATTTTTATTAAATGAGGCCAATATATTTGAACTCATTTAAGTTACTGCAAAATGTACATAATTTTTTTTAAACATTTTTTCTACCTAGCATTTTTGTAACATTCTTTTAACATTGAACCACAATTTTTATGCAGCAAAATTTAAGAATCTTTCTAAATGTTTTAATCTATCAGTGCAATAATGTAATTAATCAGCAATACCAATGAGTTACAATAATATTATTAACCTTAATCTTCTGTGCAGCTTGACAACTTTTATCCAGTTATGAGGATCATCACTATTTAATATTTTCTTTTTACTCAAATTGCTCTTATTTTCTTTAATGATCTAGATATGATCCTAACGACTAGAAGTTTATGAAAACAAATAATAAAATAATTACAAAAAAATTGGCAAATAAATACTTTGCAAATACAGGTTTTCATGAACAAATATAAAAGGCCTAGCTGCTCAGAAGGTTATATTCATATGAATATTTCTAAATGTATTTATACATTTAAATGCATATATCTCACCTGAACAATGAACAAGAGCAGCTGCAAACACAATTAAGTTTCCCAAATACTCTTGATATTTCTTTCAAAATATTAATACTTTGTGAACTTAAAAGGCACCTGTATAAAAATTAATTATTTTATAAGAAAGTAAAGCCATAGAACAACATATACACATGCAAATCAATTTGATATATATACCAGCGACCACAAACATCAGCTGATCTCTCAGATTAGGAAGATACTGCATTTGTATGCAAAAATCTTACAAAATATAGCAGAAATACAGCTAAAAACTTGTTGAGGTTGTGCCATGTAACTATAAACATTGAAATTATTTGAAGGCTAAAAATGAATAACTGGTTCTGCATATTAAACATATTGTAAACTTTTTAGCATCAATATTTTTACATTAAACAAAGTCAGGTATGAATTTGCTGAAAGAGCAGTTTAAGATTCCAGGATCCCCAGACCTTTAACTTAAATGCTATTTCCTGGGGACATAATTAAAGGATTACAATTAAGTTACATAATTAGCATGGTCTGAATTTCTCAAAAACAAACATTTTCTTAGATGAAATCACATGATTTTAGCTGAAGTGGTATTAAAAATTAAGATAAAATAAAAAGCAATCACAGTATTATAGGTGCTAAATTATGGGTACTTTACTGGTGGCAAAATGTGGATTTATATTAGTCAAAAGATGACAGATGTTGTATAATAGCTATAAATAAAATGAAAATAGGGAAGAAACATTTTGCGAAACATTCTTAAATATTACTAAATGATAAATTACAAAAAATAAACTTGAAAATGTTGAAGTAAAATCAGTTTTAATTGCAAATCTAAAGAACAAAATGGAGAGTACAAGTTTCTAAAAAATGCTTTGTACATTCCCTCTTTATTTTAATGGATAAATAATTATATGAAGATGAAAAATTAAATTAAGATTCACAAACAATAACAGAGTTATATAATTATCACTACAATTTCTCAAATCTTGTGTTTTTAAAATTATCTAGTGCATTGATTAAATGAATTTCAAACTTATTTAAACAAGTGTTACTTTAAACTAACTAAAAAGAAAATTAAATTCCTATTATAACATAGAAGATTTTACTACCTTAATAGTTAGTTTTTCATACTAAAGATTTTAATTATTCTTAATTGGTTCTTATCCCTCTTTATTAATCATCTATATATAATACTCTGGATTTAGAAATAATAGGCACATACATACATAAAATGAATGCCAGTGATGGGATTCAGCTAGTTTGTAACTGTTCCTAAAGCCTTTTAAATTTACAAAATAGTTGTTAAAATTGAGCTGCAATATTTATTTAGGCACTTTATTATTATACAGTAATTAATTTCTTTGCTTGTTAAGGTAAGCAAATCAGTTCTTAAAATCTTTGGATCCCATCACTGATAATTATTGCACATAAAATAATCACAGTCATATTTCAAGATGAATTATATTAGAGAATTTTTTAGTTTAAAAAAACTAATGTCACTCACTCTCTGATATCTAACAGATTTTGAATAGATAAAGTACAGTTGTACAAAAATGTGGGCAGTACTTGAATTGCTGCAATTTTAAGCATACTTTCTGAGCTATGCTAAAAAGGGAGGAAAATTGAAAACTATAAGAAATAAAACACAGTACTTTTATAAAACTTTGAGATAGCTAGTGTTTATCATTTTAAAGAAATGTTTTTATTAAAATACTTTTCATTTTCAGACTTTTCTGTTCTTACACAGAAATATATCATACATTTTAGAATGACGAATGATAATGGAAAATTACAGAAATAATTTCAAAGTCATTGAAAAATTTTAAACATAGTATTCTTGCATCAGCAAGAGAATGAAAATGTTTATCTAAGAAGAAAAAGTGCTTTGCTAAATTAACTCTCGTGTTTTCAAAGACTGGTTAAATGTCTGATTGGTTTTGTTTCCAGAATTAGACAACTGTGAATAATGATTATCTTCAACGACCTATCAACATATACAGGGTGATCAGTGAATAAGCCCTGATTTCAAAATTAAATATCTCTACAACAAAGATCGATAGAATTATGCAGTAAACTGTACGTTCATTAGCAAAACTGTAAAAATGGTGTACAAAAGTTTAGAAAATTTAGTTACAAAAATCGTTAACAGATGGCGCTCTGAGCTAAAATCACTCTGAAAAGAGTAAAAAAAAAAAAACAATAAAGTGAAGCAGCCTTTGCAATCAAAATAAATTTTTTTCAAAATGTTCACCGTTCGAAACAATGAGGTGGCGTAAACGAACAATGAAATTTGACATCAAGTCTTGCAATATCTCAACGGAAATGGAATCACATGCAACACCAATCAATGATTCAAGCTCATCTAGAGTAGCGGGATTGTTTCAATAGACAGTGTCTTTCAATGCACCCCACAGAAAGATATCACAAGGACTCCTATTAGGAGAATATAAAGGCCAAGTTATTCCTGTGTCAGTAAATTCCGGATAATCTGACACAATTACTCTATTTAGAAAGTATTCATGAAGAAAGCGAAAAACTTTATCTGTTCGATGTGGTCAAGTCCCATCTTGCATGAACCAGTCGATACCTGGTTGATTCTCCAACGCTAGTTGAGTGCTGACAAATTGTTCCAAAATTGTAACATAACGTTCACAGGGTTCGTACACATTTCCTTACATGAAAATTAAGGACTTTTAAGGACCATCAAAGAAAAAATTAAGGACCTATCAGCAAACAAAAAAACGAACAGAATAAAGCAATTATCCATATAACCGACTTCATGCTTGTAATTTCACTTTAAGGAACTAACAGAAGTGTGTATTATGCACTATTATTAAATTAAATTTAATACTTACCATAAAACAATTTTGAAAATTAAACTAACTCCCTACAAGTTATGAAGCAGATAACATTAAATTAGGAATATAATTTCTTGAAAAACATGTATAAGTGTATTTTACACTAATAACAGTCACTATTTTAAAGATTTACATGATTATTATTTAACTTATTTGATATTTATTTAAACACAGTCAACTACTGTTATGTTAATCACAATGTAAGAATATTTTGCAGATTAAAATAACTGATTTGTAAACATACAATTTATTTCCTTGGTTTTTTGAAAGATACTAGAATAATAAACTGTACAATAAAAGATACAAAACATTTATGCTTTTTTTAAATCTGAAATCTTTTCAGGCCATTTTAACATCTAATTTATTTATGTCTATTTCCTTTTCTTTAACTATTCTTCTAAGTTCAATTTGCTTTGATAAACAAATCAATGTTCCTGCTTGTCTTAGCTTCATCTGCTAAAGCATCTACTTCTTCATTAATATCTTTAATGTCCCTTTGGAGAAATTTTTTCTTCTGCTTCATATAATCAATTTCTTCCTCAATAATATTTCTTTTCCTCTTTGAATTTTCAGATTTAGTTAAAGATTTTTGTTCTTCTAAATACTGCATATATTTAGACCTTGTAGAAGCTGCTGCTGATCTCATTTTTTTAGTAATTTTGATATTAAGAACACCTCCAGAAAATTTTATGTAATCAAATATTGTGCTTTGAAAAATGTATGAGTCACTTAAATTTTTCAATTTCAATTGCTTTATTTACAGAGAAGCCCCTTTCCACAGAGACCTGTTCATGTGACAAGATAAGAATACTTGTCACAGTGAATACTTGAATAGTGAAAGTATACATTATATATACATATACATAATTTATTTCCTAAACAGTATTGATTAATTGATTATATTATCCTCCAAGTTTAATTAAAGTAGAATTATTTTAAAAGTGTGCATCCATACTGGTAAGTTATATTTTGAAAGATGTTTTGAAGTAATTTGAAAGCAAAATGTTAATAATGTTTTAACGGGGACTGAAGTTAAATCACCACGAAGAATAATATTTCAATTGTAAAAAGAAAAATTAAAACATGTAATCATTGTCATTCATCGGAAATTAGTTGACTTTTCAAGGGGAACAAACCAACTTCCGTTCAATGAACAATAATTGATAAAAATACATAAATACAAAAGTGTTTCGTATTTACGTATTTGTAGTGTATATATATACTTTTTACTATATAGGACTTTGTAGTGTATATATATACATACATACACTACAAAGTCCGAGATCCGGACATCCAATATCTGGAATGATTGAAAATCCGGACCTCAAAGCCACCACGAACCAATTTTTTAGGGCTTTTTTGAAGGGAAGGGGTATGCTTTACGCACGCGCATTAGATTTTTTTCCTCATCATAAAAAAACATGTCAGAAATCCCGATTCTTAATCTCAGTTTGGCGCTAAATAAAATATCTCATTATTGAAGAAATAATTATTTTAGCATAAATTTGTGTGATTAGTAACTTGACTCCATAGCTGCGTATCTGCTTGGCATAATCTCAAACCGAAACATTTGTTAATTTTACACCAACTAATATTTTATATCCTTGATGCCGAAATCGTGAATCATTATTTATTGTATTTTGCTTTCATCACGGCATGTTAATCAACGGATGACAACTTGAGTGATGACTCATGCAGTGACGCCAAATAACAGAGTATTATCCGATTACAGATTTAAGTTTAATGCGCTAAAATGTTGACAAGGGGAGATTTAGCAGAAATTTCTTTCCTTATGCTAAAAATAGATTTTGTTAATGATACTCATAGGCACAAAACGATTATATTTAGTGCTATTTGAATTAAGAATAAACTGATTTGTTATTCACATAAAGCCAGAAACCAGTGCCAGAGCTCGCATGGCCGCACCAGGCGGCAGAATTTAGGGAAGTTAAACAGAAGTTTTCATTGCGATGACAATGTCCAATCATCAATCAATTAACGGAGGGCAAAATCTGTAGTATGGTTCTAAATCCAGAAAATACAGCTACCGATAGTGAAGAAAGTAACAGAGAGGTTACTGAACGAGAAAAACATTTTTGATTGACAAGTTATTCGGAATTTCAACACAGCAATTACAGGACTTGAACAATGGAACTTAATAACTGAACAAGAAATTATATGTCTATAGTATTAGTCTAAAGTATTAGCAAAAGAGAAAACAAATCAAAACAACTCACATTGAAAGAAATGTTTAATAAAGTAAATATGTAAATATTAAGCTCTTTTCTTTTGTAAATTTTGATACCCTTTTAATCATAAATGCTTCATTATTTCATAAATCACGATTTCATATTTTCAATTTTATAATTTCTACGTGCCATCTTAGTAGATTTAAAAATGATCTAATATCCGGAAAAATCTCAAATCTGGGATCGCCGAAGTCCCGACGAGTCCAGACCTCGGACTTTGTATGTATATATATATATATATACTTTGGTGGTCGTGGCGCTTAATGCATGATAATTAAAAAAATAAGAGTGACAATCTCCTATAACAAAAGAATATTTAAGTACGAATCACAATTTAAATTACATTGCAGAGATCACACAGAGCTCGGAACACTACCGTCGCGTACATTTGTCTGACGAGAAGTCTGAGTGAGTAATGACGTCGCTTTGCTGCTCCGATTAAGAACTGGATTTTACACGTGGTGCCATCTCATGAATAGAAGTTGAAGTATCTGTCGGAACGCCACATATATATATAATACGGAATGTATATTTTCAGTTAAACTTCTACCCAATTACTTTCGTAATTCATTAAAGTTAATTTTGCGTCTAGTTAATTCAGGAAAATTAGTTTCAATTAGTTGTTTTCAGCTTTAAAAATATTAAAAAATTTTTAATTAGTTAGTTATTTTCAACTAATAATTGTATTGCCATTAGCAAAAATAATGCATTATTATCAACAGCATAGGATTAAACCAAATACTTAATTGTCTATTGAAGCTTCAAAACGTATTTTTCCGAACTTCACTTTTTCTCGGCTAGCGTTACCGAAATTTGCCCTTGGCGAACCTAAAATCGAAATGGAGCCAACAGATTTCTCGCGAAATCGATAACAGACAAGCTGCTGAGAAAAAACTCATAATCCCGATATCCCATACATATAGTATGTGCAAAAGAGAATAAACTCCGCAGAAGGTGATAAAAAGTTAATTTATGGCTTAATTGAAACAAACACAGAAATTAAGCTAAAGTAAAACTGTGTAAAAACAAATTGAAATGATGAAACGAAACTTAATTTTCATGTGAATTTTCAGCGCTGATTCTTCCATTCTAGAAATTTCAATTTGTTTCAGACAAAGACGACATTTAAGGATTGCCATCCATCAATATCCAGTCTTTGTAATCAGCTTGATGAAGCCACAGTTTATTGAAAATGCACTTTCCAGGCATCTCGTTCCTATTGGCGTCGGAAGGGTTGTGACCTTCCAGGTTGGGATTGCTCTAATTTTGGCAAATATTTTAAAATCCCCCCCTTTTTTTTCTCGAGCACCTTCATCATCACTTTCGCCTCTTAAAGAACTTTCGACTTCACGCTTTCGTCACAATCTCCCTAAATTTATGGATAACACCTGTTTCGAAAGATTGGGTGAATAGCCAATCAGACACCAATACTTTCGTTCGGGTAGCTAAATTTTTTTTTTTTTTTTTTTTTTTTTTTTTTTTTTTTTTTTTTTTATCGTTTGCAATGCAAATCCACCAACAGATTGGTTAACAGCTGTGCAATTTTAATTCCATATTCATGAGAAATCATAATTCACACTTAGAATGCCAATCATTAGAAATGATAAGAAATGTCAAATGAGCAAAATTAAGGACCGTTTATTCATTTTGGCCAAAATTAAGGACTTTTAAGGACCAAAAATAATTTTTGAAAAATTTAAGGATTTTTAAGGACTTTTAAGGACCGTATGAACCCTGGTTCAGTAGTTATCATTTCTCGTACGAAAAATGATCTAATAATGCCTCTGGTGCATACCGTAGCCCATGCAGTAACTTTAGGTGATTGCAGTGCTTTCTCTTCACACAAATGAGGATTTTCAGTACCCGAAAATCCCCAGTTTTGTGTTTATTAAGGATTCCATTCAAATGAAAATGTGCCTCATCTGTGAACCAGATGCAGCTCACATCAAATCTGTGGTTGTCGACCATTGTTAGAATCTGATTCGCAAAGCCAACCCTTTGTTGCACAGCTTTCATGGGTATGGCCTGATGACTTTGGATTTTGTATGGAAACAGCTGTAGGCTATTTTTTAATATTTTTTGCGTGCTCGTGTACTTCAAACCTGTCTCTGATGCCATCCGTCGGATGCTTTTCCTAAGATTTTGCTGAACAATTCCAGAAACTTTGTCTGAATTTACAGGAGTGACTACAGTTTGCCTAGGCCCAACATTTGCCTTTCGATCATCAGCCACGTTGCCAACCCGTTCAAATTTCGCAAAGAGCATGCGAATGGCTTTGCATCGGGGCCATTGGAACATTGAACTTGGGGGCCAATTGAACATTGAGCCATTTTTCACTAGCCAACAGTCGTACTGATCACTTTTGAATTCAAAGCACATTTTTAAAGGCTATTGATAGGTCATTGCGATTAGAGCGCCATCTGTTAACGATTTTCGTAACTAAATTTTCTAAACTTTTGTACACCACTTTTACAGTTTTGCTAATAAACATGCAGTTTACCGCATAATTCTATCGATCTTTGTTGTAGAGATATTTAATTTTGAAATCAGGGCTTTTATAATGCAGTATTAAAATTACATTTGCAGCACAGAAATTGGTTTATCACATACCACAATTTATACAATAATTTATAATTTTTGCCTTCTAAAAATTTCAAAATTAATGTGAAGTTCAGATAATTAAAATACAAAGCATAGGAATTATCATGAATGTTCATGAGTTCATATTTGAGAACACAGTAATAAAGTTATTGCAAAATGTATAAATTTCTACTCTATGTTTTTCTTTCCATCTCGACAAGTATATATAAAGTACTGCATACATTCTTGATGGCTGATCATACTTATTTAGAATCCATTCTCTCAGAAACCATAACCTATTTTACTTATTATGGAAAATTGTTTATAAAAAGATGAAAAGAAAAGAGAAATGACATTTTAGGCAATTTTTTTTTAAATTCTAAGACAACTTATGAATATTAAAGCACTGTACATATGCAAAAACATTTAATCAAACACTTCTATAGAAGAGCAATTTTAAATGCCTTTCTGAAAATTTTAGAATTATTTATTTTGCTCTTAAAGCTTCCACTGAGTGCGATGTATCTTTCCAAAACATTTAATTTACAAAAAATTACATAGTTATTTATTTGCACAGCTTTAACGTGTGTAAAATACAATCAATGTATTCAATCAAAATCAAAGCAACCTTAATATATTTTATCGAGAAATGTAGGCACAACGTTCAGTCTTCAGAGATATTCAAATATTTTGATTTCATGTACAGTTTCCAGCATGACTTATGCAAATTTTGATGTGCAAATGAGTGCTTCAAATGATAAAGGGCAATTTTGCAGAAATTTCCACCATTTTCAAATGATGACATATTTAAATGAACACTTGTAATTTTGTAATGTTTTTTGTTTAGATTTTATTATTTTCATCAAAAAAAAATCCTGACTTGCATAAGTATAATGTTGAAAATGAAAGTAAAATTTAATTGTTAATTAGCTGGCAAAACTGTATTATTTTGTAATGAATTCATTCATACACACATAAGCTCAGTTGGTTAAGAAGAAAAAAATGTACAAACAAGTATGACATCACTTACACAAGCATATTTCAGTATTTCATTGATTAAATAAAAAAATTATATTTAATCAATTTTATTATATTTTAATATTTTATATTTTATTAATCAATTTTATCAATATATTTAATCAAAAATTTTCAATTTTATATTTAATCAAAAATTTTCAAAAATATTAAATTTAATTCTACAGTCAGAAGTCACACAAATCACTTTTGGAATTGCTGCAACACATTTTGCCAATATCAAAATAATTTCTTACATTTACAAAGGCACCGAACTCATTTCTGTAGCCAGATTTATCCTCAAAAGCCATTTCATTTGCAAAAATTTCAGTTAATCATTCTCATAGATGATCTGACATGACAGACAGATTTATCTCAGACCAATATGTCTTTAAATGACTACTATATCTCTGCAAGTAATTTCACCATCGAAAATTATAAACTATCTACAATTAAGATTTGATTCATTGTATAAGATTGAAATAATAAGTCATGCTTGCGCGAGGCAGACCTTACATACCTTATTAAGAAAAATAGACAATTAAATAACAATTATTAATTAAACTTAAATAAATGCAAATTTATTTCACTTAACATATATTAAGTTCTTACAGGACAAATTCAAATTTAAAATATGTATTTCAAATTAAATGAACAATGATTTATAAAAGTGCTCAGTAAAGGAAAAAAATAAATAAAAAGTCGCTTGCAGAAAGCATGATGTAATTAAAACATACCAAAAAATACATTAGAATCTGGTATTTCCACTTCTGGCATATTCTTTTTGGAAGAAGAGCAAGTGTCTGAAGGCACTGAATGCCAACTGAGGTATTTAGAGAAATTCCAAGTTGCTTGAGCTCTTTCACTGGTAAAAACTCACATGAAAGATCAAAAAGATCTTCCTTTTCCTGGAATTATATTAAACAACAAAAACCTAAATAAAATACTCCATTTATTAAGAGCTTGGTAAACTAGCATTAAAATTGCACAGCAAAATTCACTTTTAGATATAATATAGTAAAGAAAATTACATACAATGTAGTAACTGTCAAGAGATTAACCCTTTGGTGCTCAGTGGTCGCGCCTTGAAACCACCAATTTTCGAAATTTTTTCTCCTCTTCTTTGCGAAATTTTTGAGTGAAAATCAATTGATTACTGATCTTTTACCTCTAAATAACACAAAATGACTGCAGAATTATAAATGTTTTATGTCTTAGTACTTCAAATCGGATACCTTTTAAAGTTTGTTTTCAATGAGACAAAATAACTTCCTTTTATTAAAATAAACAGCTTTAAATTTCAAAAGTTATTCATCGCACATCATGATTTCTATCATAAACAATAAAAAATAGCAATAATTAAACTGCATATATTAAAAAAAAACCCTCTATATGTATGGCATTTGCTTTGTGGTTTCAGGGCGCAACTATTTAGTCACTAGTCGCACCTTGAAACCACTGCTCTCCACAATGGTGTTTGCTTGCTTCTCAAATAGGAATGTTTATTTTTACTCGGTTATAGATAAGGGGTTTTGAAACCACAGAGTTATTTTATTACTAAACAATACACGCATCTGCCCAGGAGAATGGTCTTTTTTTCCCAGATACTTTTATCTGACTTCAACACACTTACTCCCCCTCCAAGCTAGTATTGTAATTTTATAAATTATTTCCTGTGGTTTAAATTTAATGTAAATATACTTAATATATAATTAAATTAGAAATTAAAAATAGAAATCGCGTAAAGTTTTATTTAAACTAAAAATATTTTCTGAATATTTTGGGACGGAATAGGAATAAAATAAGTATGAATGGGAAATGAATGATCCCTACCAAAGCCAAAAAGGCCAAGCCCCCTCCCATTAAAGAAACTAAATAACGCTGGACATATACCAGTGAAATTTAGATCCAGGCAGTGTACATTTTGTAGTACAAGGAAGAAACCTCATAGAAGAAGATACATGTGCGAAACGTACAATGTTGGTCTACGCATGTACCAAAAAGACAAAACATGCTTTGAACAATATCCCCCCCCCCAAAAAAAAAAAATTGTTCTTTGAAATAAAAAAAAAAAAATTAAATTAAATTAAAAAAAAAAAAAAAAAAAAAACACCTTAGTCTTTTTAATCCTTATTTTACTGAGTTTTTTAATTCCATTTAGTCAAACATCCTTATTATGTAGGTACTTATATTTTCACTGCTATAGAAAAATTACATAAATGTTTATTTTTTAATTTTCTTCTGACAATTTACTTTGTAAAATAATGTAAAAAAAATTATATATAATGCAATTCTTACATACATTTTTTTTTAATTCGTAAATTTTGTCATTTATTGCAAACGTGCACGAAGAAAGGTAAGTTTTCCCCCCTACTAGCTCAGTAAGTTTCAAAGTCCTAGACGCGTGGTGGTTTCACAGTACGACCACCACCCACAGAACAATGGGCAAGAGTAGATTTTTTAAAATTCATATATTATTTGTCTCTAGGATCATAATATTCAATTTCTAGAGTTTTTATTAAAAAAATTATAAAAATAATATCACGCGCATCAAAGGGTTAACAGAAATTATTATTAAACTGGGAATGTTATAATTCAGTTTACAATATACATTACGTAGAGTTTTTATTAAAAAAATTATAAAAATAGTATTGCGCGCATCAAACGGTTAACAGAAATTATCATTAAACTGGGAATGTTATAATTCAGTTTACAATATACATTACAACAGCTAAAAGTTTTGTTATTATCAATGCTAAATAATTATCTAGCTCTAGTATACTTTCAGCTCATACAACACTCTTATGTATCATTTTATATTTCTTTAAATCAATTATCCGCAACATGGAATTCATTAAAACAAATCTCCATTCAGGCCAAATACATTTTCCATACCATAAAATGTACTAATTTGCTTTAAAAAAAAAAAGGAATTTTCAAATTTATTTCGCTCATTAAACATCCACTTTTGGAACATAATGATTTGTTTGTGCAAAAATGCTGTGTCAATTTATCAATACATTTGAATCTGTAAAAAATGCTCCAGATATTTAAGAGTTTATAGCAAAATATGCTATGAAAATTGCTTTAATCAGTGAATATAATAATATGACTTTTCCCTTTCAACAATTTTTTTTAAATGGGTATTTTCTGATTACCCACATCTTCATGAAAAGTTACGAACTCAATGCTGACTTTGTAAATCAGTGAAAAATGTTTGTTTTGTTGTCTTTGCAGATTATATGTACTGTTTGGTTAATAAACAATAAAAAAAAATTACAAGAAACAAATTTTATGAGGAAATAATCTATAAAACCAATGTTTATATTTCACAGCCAATGAGTGGATACTGTTCAGCAAAATAATGGTTAAATTTGAAGCATGTCAATCTCAGTGTACTAAAATACACTAGTGTAGTATCTGTATTGATGGGTTATTTATTGTCACTTATATAATCAAAAATAAGCCAAAAACATGTCAATTCTATCAAATGTTGAAATCAATGGAAATGATAATCAGGAGATTGTAATAAAATGTTTTAATCTCTTATTTTCCTTATCCTTTATTTGTGCTTAGCCAGCTATAAAATTAACAGCACGAATTCCTCAGATACAAAGGAAAGATTATGATAATCTATTTCACTTCCTGAAATAACACATAACGTTAATGATCGGAAACTCATAAATTGATTACATTCCCTTACTGATATGCATTTTGGCAGTAAAAAAATTACAGACACTTCAAGTTAAAATTTCTTTTTTCTAATTTAATATGTATATAATACTACTAAAATTAAATTTATATCTTCCGTCTTGAAAGCAAAATTCAATGGAAGACATCATATTTTAACTGAATGAAGGAAGACATAAAAATCGAATTTCGATGCCAAAGATAAATTACAAACAGACGGCAATAGCAGCTGCAGCAACACACAGAACCTACTACAGAAACCTGTAACTCCTGCAACTATACAGAAAAATATTTATAAAAGACTACTTAAAGACAAATTTTCATTTATATTACCTGTTAAGTTATTTCATGTATAAAGAATACATGCTTTTTGCCAAATACAATTAATATAAAGTATCCAATAAAATTATTTTGCATAAGTATCAGATAAACTGCTCTACTTTTTCTTAAATGATCTATCTTCATTCTAAACTTTTAGTTCACATAATTTATTTTTCTCACACAAAAGGAAACATTAAAATTTATTTTATTAGGTGGAAATCTGCAGTATTTTTGGCCACAAAGAGTTTCAGAAATATAACTAAACATCTCTTACAGTTTAGCTAAATGACTTCAAAATCATGCAACATACCCAATCCAACAGCCAAGGAATTGACACTACATTGCAAACCACCATATACTGCTGACTTGTTAAACAACACACTCCTAGAGAGAGAATATATATATATATATATATATATATATATTAGAGAAAATATATATATAACATTACAGGATAAGAATATCTTTGTTTTGTAGTATCTTTGTAAAATAATTACCTTGAACAGCCAAAAATAACTGAAGAACTTTAATGATATTTTCATACTGAACTACTGAAAACTCATGTTTAATGATCATCTTTATATGGTTAGTCACAATACTTATCAATTTTAAAATATTTTCATCTGATACAGTTTGCATCTCATTAGAAAGAAAAGCTTCTTTGTTGATTCTGAAACACAACACATATAGACTTTAGAATTATAGACTTTGCAACAACTTTCATGACACATAAATGAAAATTACTTAGTTTCATTAATTATTAAAGAAAACACACACTGATTGTTAGTTTCCAGAATACAAATGTCAGAAAACAAAAGCCATATTCTTTTTGAAGCTACTTATAAACATAAATTTTAGCTGATAAAATACAGCTTTTTTTATAATTAAACTTTCAAAAACAGCAAAAATGAAATAAAATTAAACAAGCAAAAAAGAAATACTGAATTTAGCTCGATAAAAGGGAAAAAGAAAAGAAAACTGAAATATGCATTAACCACAATATTATGCTAAATTAAAAGATGCTATTTTATCAAAAACCTGAAAACAAGTTAAAACAATTCTAATCAACCCCCCCCCAAACACACACACAATGAGTTTTCATTTACTAAAGTTTTTGTTCCTCTCTTCACATATCTTAAAACCCCACTTCCTTTTTTACACACAGACAACTGCTTAAGGTAAAAGTTTACAATTGGGTGCCCCTTGTTTATTGGCGATTCTTTATTGACACCAAGATCGGCGCCAGGAAGTCACAATTTCAAGATGGCCACTACACAAAACCAAAATAAGAAGTCGAAGAATTGCATAAGATCTGTGTCCATGTACACATCGATCTGTTTTTACTTAAAAAAAACATCCTAGAATTGCACAAACTAGGCATTGCGCACTGCCTTAAATAGTCCATGTACACATCAATCTATTTTCATTTAAATAAAATCGGGAAGCTAAAACAAAGTTAAAACTATCGTGGTAACCAGAAGTAAGTTTCATCGCCAAAATTTTTAAAAAAAATGTCGCCAATCGAAGGGGCACCCAATTCTACACTAAAGCCCTACTTAATTCCAGTAAGCCTTTTAAAACATAATCTCAGGGAATATTAAAACTATATAAAAATACAGTTGTTGTGCCTGCACACGCATTTCATTATTAGCGTCTAAGCATGCGCCTTGAGCTCTTAGAGTTAGTGACATGAGATTGTGAGCTAAGAGCGTGTGAGAGAATTTTTGGCTTCGAGTGGCCATGAACGATGTAAATTAATGAGAATAAATGTGTGATATAATACAGTCCATTGTTCCCGATTTTATTATAGTGTAGTGCTAGTGCAAATCAACAGTCAAATACCAAAAATCCGCCGATCTGAAATCAGCCAACTCCTGAAATCCGCGTTGCCTCTCAAAATATAAACATTCAAGACACAATAACACGCCGAATAAATACCAATTCAGAAGACAAACAACAAAAATCAGCGTTATATTTACAAAATTTCCACAGGACTAGTTTCGATGGTTTTACCGAACCACCATCCTCAGCTTCAAAACCGCAAATGAACAAGATAGGAAAAAATGATTAGATAAGATAAGAAAGCCTGGACAAGAATAAGCAGTAGTCCTGTGGACATTTTGTAAATATAACGCTGATTTTTGTTGTTTGTCTTCTGAATTAGTATAAACATTCAGTTTATAGCTTCCGGAAACCGCAACACTGAGTACGAAATATCGAAGAAAAAATACTTAATGAATAATGACATCATAGTTACCGAATAATAATGAGTCATAACAGAAATACCAAATTACTGACATCATGATTAAAGTGTTTTCCCCTCTAATCTGCATCGAGGTAAAAAAACAGACGATTCACTCAACTCTTCTTTCAAGTTCACGATTCACATTGTTGTATTTTCTGAGCTTTGTTATTTCACGAGATTATTTAGTGCTGCCTTTTTTTTAATCTGGATATTTTGTGGGTAAATTAAGAATATTTTAAATTTCAGCCCTTTTTAATACAATGACAGATAAGAAACGCACTCTTGATTTTACTGCTTGCAACGTTGAAAAATGTAAACACATTGCGTTGACGGTAATGCAAAAAATGCAAATTCTGCAAAAGATGAAGGCAGGTTCCACTCCTCAGTTTATAGCAGAATCGTATGAAATTGCGATATGATTGTGTATGATACATGGAAAAATAAAGAAAAGTTTTGAAATTTTACAACAACAGTATTCTAACACCAGGATCCGAAACCGGAAATCTTTGCATGAGGCGAAATCGGCAAACCTGGATGCTGTGTACATATAATACAATGAATAATATAATCAATTTATATATGTAATAAAAATAATTTAATGCATATAATAAATTATTGCAATAATGTATGTAATAATTTTATTAAATGTATCTAATACGCCTTATTTATTTTGCACTTTGAGTCCGAATATTATGATTTATCTTTTCTCTCCTGAAATCCGCAAAATCCTAAAATCTGCATAACCTCTGGTCCCAAGCTTTGCGAATTTCTGGACTTCTACTGTAATTCATACATGATTTAATGCATTTCTAGTAATCTTCTATTTTTTCTCTTTTGGTAAAAGATAAGATATAAAGTATGTATAAATACAATTATCAAAAGCAGTAAACAGATTACATTAAAAAAAACTTACATAGATTTACCATAATTCACAGTTTCACAAAAACTTTGCATCAAGATTTGTAAACAAGAATATACCATTTTCATATTGATGCTCTGTAATTTAAAGTCATAATTTTATGTAATTAAATTTAATTTTAATTTAAGATATGTTACAAATTTAAAACATAGTACATACAGTCAGTCACAAATATATCAAAGTCATAATTTTATGTAATTAAATTTAATTTAAATTTAAGAAATGATACAAATTTAAAACACAGTATATACAGTCAATCAAAAAAATATTGAGCCATTTTAATCGTTATACACATTTTAGCCAATTTACAGATTTGTCAAAATATATTTACAGACATAAAAGAACAAAATGATACTTTTTAACGCAAATAAGTAAAGTAGATTAACAAAAAATTAACTTATAGCTTCAAAAACGGATTTATGTAAGTAAAAGTATGAGTCTTCTTTTGTGTTAAAATGTAATTTCTAGTACTTTCATAAAAATTTAAACTTAATCGCTTATCTTTTAGAATTTACAATAGCTTCATTTTTTCTCTCTCTTCTTTTTTTTAATTATTATTATTATTATTATTATTATTATTATTATTATTAATTCAGTGCTCCCAGAATATGTTTAACGTTAACTGTGAATATAACCATTTACCTACAATTCTGTAATTGTGTTGATATTTTTTATTCAGTCTACAAATTTTCTATAACAGGGCTGCTCAACATACAGTCCACCAACACTATTAATATGGTGCTTCAAACCATGCTTCAGAATTTAAAAAAAAAAAACCAAGCACTTAAAAACAAGAGTCACATAAAAAAATTAAATCTTTAAAAATAAAAGAAAGTCATACAGGACAGTATATGAAAGGATCTTCTAGAAAAACTATAATTAAATATGTAACAGTTTTGATGGCCAACCATAAAAATTTCCGAAATTTTTAGAGGTGTTTGTTTACTATAAAAAAAAGTTCTTTGTACTCAGAAATTTAAATTTCAGCTTCTAGTCATCAAATATATCACCTAGTTATCACATATAACTACTTAAAATTCAAAAATCAAATTAATATGCGAAACTGGAAAAGTGCTAATTCAGAAGTCAAATGACAAAAATCAGCGTTATATTTACCATCCTCAAATAAACCGCCATCCTCAAAATAAATGATTTGATGCAAAATAAATGATTGATGCAAAACCGCAAATCATTTGCGGTTTTGCAGCTGAAGATGGTGGTTCGGTAAAACCATCGAAACTAGTCCTGTGAAAATTTTGTAAATATAACGCTGATTTTTGTTGTTTGACTTCTGAATTAGTATTTTTCGGCGTGTTATTGTGTCTTACTGGAAAAGTGCTTAGTAGAAAACTAAATGATTAGACAAGAGAAAAAGGCAAGTATCTAAAAAATTCACACTTCCTAAAATAGCAAAGTGTCAACTATTCCATCCACTCAACACAGATTTCTATCTCAATGTTTGCAGTCTCAGTCTTTCTATCTTTGCACACTTAGCTTTCATTCAGAACTTGTCTTTTTTAACAGGAATTATCTTCATGGAAATGCCTACATCAGCTATATGCCATTAAGTTTCATATTGAGTATAGACACTTGCTTTATCATGAAAATAGACTACACCGTATATGGAGTCTCCAGGGAAAAATTTATTCTGAACACAGAGTCCCTAGGATAATAAATTTTTGCTATCGAGGATAATGAGGACAAATTGTATTTAACAAGAGAGCATCAGAGTTTTAAAAGAGCATAATATCAAGGCGATATATTTTAATAAAACAAGCTAGCAAATAAGAATACTTCATATGCCAAAACGGAATTGATCAAGTGAACTCTATAAAAAATATTATTGCAAAGCAAAATTATTTTCTTAAACTGGAAGCCAAAATTTTGAAGCAAGTATCAAGAAACATCCAAAGCAGACACTGTCAAATGGAAAATTTCAGTAAAATTGCTCGGCCATATTTAATCTGCTGCATGTTTTATTTAAAATAGCTAATAGAGAAATAAAATTTTTACATCAGATAGATACTAGAAGAGAAAGAGCACTGAAAATTCTCTAATTTAAAAAAATTATTCTGCTGAGTTTGCAGTTAAAAAATCTGATGTGTACACCACGATTTCCTTGTATGGAATATTAATTTCTACGGAATTTTCCTGCCTTTCATTTAAACATAATGAATTAACCGTTAGCAAATTTTGAATTAAATCTACTTCATGGATAGTGCATAAACCACAATAGAATAAGTAAATAGAATAGAAAACTCTTTAAAATTCACTATATTTATTTACCATAGCAACACTTCGGCCCTAGGTTCACTTAACAGCATTACATTTCATTCATTTTACAACTCAGAGTGCACAAAAAATTAGATCATCTGAAGAATCACCACAGGTTCTATTCAAATACTATAATAAATCTAAAACAATGCATAAAATAAATTAAACAAATAAATAAGAAACAGTTTTTTGCAGATCATTCAGTGTCACTTACCTAATGCACTACTAATTAATTCAGTTCTCACTTCGCGGCAAGGTAAAAATACATAAAGATTCAAAATATTTTCATTAAAATTTGAAAGATATAGAAAAACATAAAACACCAAGTACAGTTAAAGCAATTAAAAAAAACTTTTCTACAATTAAAATTACAGTTTCTACGGAAAAATCCAGCTAATAACTTAAATGATAATTCCAGAATAAATTAAGCATAATTTAATTCGCAATAATAACAGAAGACATTACTTTGCTGTTGGAAAGCTTAGTTTCTCTAAATTGGCGACAAATTCCTCAAGAAAATATTTTAGTGGAATTTAATAAAGTTGAGCAGCAAGCGTCAAAATTCGTAACAGAAAAGTGAAATGAAGGGTGCTGAATATCCTGTGAAGTTATAAAATTGAAAGCATTAGAAGAGGATGCTCATTTAGACATTTCTAAAAAGAAGTATGGGTTTTCTAAGAAGGAAGTATGGACTTTAAAGCAAGTATGCAAGTATGGGTTGGTGTAGAAGAATAATGAAATGGAATGGTTTGTCTCTACAATGGCAGATAAATCTTACGCAAAAACCTCCTGGCAACTTTAGTGAAAAATTGTTTTGCAGAGGTTTTTTTTTTTTTTTTTTTTTTTTTTTTTTTCATTTTTGATGTCTGGTGCACTTTATTACATAGTTTATTAATAAACAATATTTACACCTACCAGACCAAATATGTTTTTTTAGACAACAGTTGCTCACTCTCTATGCTAAAGAGAAAGATGAAATCACAAACTTTTGTTTAGTTGGTAACAAAATATTTTTTAATAAATGAATCAAAATCAGTTTTATAATATCTATTGGGGGAACACATACATATGTACAAAAGATATTACATTGCTTCACATAATATTTTGTTTTGTTATATATTTTCACAAACTATAAGATCATAAGTACATTTTTTAGATCCACAAGGAAATAAAAAATATATTAATTTAAAAAACAAAACAACATAAAGCAGAGAAGTGCCAGTCACGGGGTTAATGCTAAATTTTCATTAGCAATAAAAATCTTAAAAAATAAATTTGAACAAAACTGCATGCTTTGAGAAAGTGCATCAAGAAAACTTCAATAATAATCTTCTGCAAAATATATGAAATAAAAATATAAAGCCTATCAAAAATTTATAAGCATATAGACTTAAAGTAAAGATAGCACATATTAATTCTATTTCTCATTCAATAGAAGTCAAAGCAACTTACTTTCCCAGAACATGATGAGTCAGAAGAGATGTATTTCATAAAAGCTTCATATAAAAATGACCAGAATTTTGAAACTTTTCCCATATTTTCAAACAAAAAAGATCTACACAAAATGAAAATAAACTGAACTGAAAGCATTGTCTTCAAAAAATTAGATTGTAATCAATATATATAACTTTAGCTTACTCATTACTCTGCTTCAGATATTTTTGATTTCACATTTTAAAAAGAATTGATTTAATTGTGAGGAATGCTACAAATTTAAGCTTTTGAAATTAATCAAACAGTGAAGCTTCAACCAAGTCACTGATTTCTGCACCAAAATTTGAATTTTTGTATTTACACTTCATTTTAAGATAAATTTTTTAAAATAGCAAAAGTCTAAACAAAATTGTAAACAATAAAAGAAATTTTATGCAGAATGTTATATATTTCTTTTTAATTTTATATAAAAACATCATTAAAAATAAAGATTTAAGAAGCAGCTAATCATTGCAACTTTTCACAATTTGAAGAAATTTTTTTTTTTTAAATTTACTTTTGGGTACCTTATTAAGAACTTATTTACACAAAGGAAATAATTCTAAGAATTAGAAAAATATGGATTAATATACAAGGTACATAAATAATGAAGTACATGTAAAATTTACTTTGGGGTGCCTTATTAAGTACTTATTTATATAGAGGAAATAATGCTAAGAATTAGAAACATATGGAATAATACACAAGGGTAATAAATAATGAAGTACAAGTACATAAAGATTATCATAACATCAAACAAGATTTCCAGAACAAATCCAAACAAATGGTGTACATAAAATGCACAGTTATATATAAAGTAGGAATATAAATAATTATGAGTATTTAAAAAATTATGAATAATCCCTTTCAACTTACGATTGTTCATTATAAATATCTACATCATTTGTTTTCACTGAATCATTTCTTTCCAATATTATTAAATAAACAGCTATTGGAACAATAACCTGGAATTACATAAAAGCATATTAACATATTTCTAGCAAATAATAAAAAAGAATAGAAAAAAGCAATTTTATAACATCTTGTATCATACTTCACAAAATTTCTGCATAATCCAATATTCTAATAAAAAAAATTAAACAAATTATGTCAGATGTATAAATTGTATGCCAATTTCAGTAATAGTTATCAAATTACTTAATACCTACCTACTTAAAAACCAAAGCTGATGCCATTTTAATATAAAATGCTTAACGTATATCAACAGAAAAATAAAGGAATTCTTAAAAAGCATGTCTGAAAACAAAGTGTGTAACCAACTACAAACAGACTTAAGTTTTGGAAATGAACTATAATCAATGCATTTTGTTTCAATTAAAATTTCAGAAAAATTTTATTTTCACAACATAATAAATTTTGATAAATATGAAACTTTTTAGCAATTTAAAATGCAAATTTTAGTTATTAAATAAGGATTATATAATATGTCTAAATATGCAAAAATAAACTGAAATTTTTTACAAAATTCTTCTGTTTTATTTAAATTTTTAAAAAAAATTAATTTAATTACAAGTTTCTCATGCAATTTTAACAAAAGAACTATTAAAAGTTTGGTTGAAGTACAATAGTGACTGAAATATGAACTTCATTCAACATGATATCAAAGAATAATAAATAGCAATAGAAGATTTATAAATTTCCCTCTTTTTAAATACACACTTTAAATGTAATCTTAGCTTGAACCAAAACTGACGTAAAATAAATTAAATATAAATTTGATTCATAGATGTAAATTAAATAGGAAGAAGTTACATTCTCTGCTATGAATAAAATAAGATCAAACGGTTTCTTACTGTTCAGAATTGCTCTAAAAAATACATTATTTATTTCTATAGTGCTATCAATAATACTATCTGGAATATTAAATAAACAATTATTAGAACAATTACCTGAAATATAATACATAAGAGTTTTAAAATCCTTTGTATATATTTACAATATAAGTAACAATTTTGAAAACGAGGAAAAAGGGGGAAATATATTCATGTTATCTTTTGTATATTTCAAAAGAAAGTTTTAAAATATTTAGATATAATTGGAAAATGGCTTCTCTTCCATATAGTTCTTATGTTAATAAAATTTGAAGCTTCTAAACTTGCAGCTAGAATAATAAATTTAACCTTACCCCCCCCCAAAAAAAGCAAACTTAAAAAATCAATATATAGCTTTTATTGATATATGCGATAAAAATATTGGTACTTATGTCTTATCACAACCATGTTAGTAGACAGTTTGGTTTATTTAATTACGACTCAGCACTCAAGTGCAGGGATACCTTCATGGATGACTCTCTAAGAAAAACTGGCTCATACACACGTTAAACATGAGTGAAACCATGAAAATACCCATACAGCCAGCCGTTCGTCAGGATTTCAACCCCAGACCGAACTACCAGTGTTCAGCAATTTTACCACTTGGCCGCTAGTGGGCCATCACCACAGCAGTAGTTGGCGAATTTTTCTAATGTGCCAAACTCTAGAAACCATATGCATAATCATTCTTCAGACAATCATGCACATAATCTTTCTTCCGACAACCATGCTTCAGTCAAGCAATGTCACCATTTTCCTACACGATCTTTTAATTCCAAATTCCAATGGTTTTTATAGCCAAATCATGATATTTTTTGCTTAAAATTGACAATTAAAATATACACTTCCGGAATTTGTCAACAAAGGAAGATATATTGCAGCAAAACTTTTGCAGGAATACAGTATTTTGCCACAAAATTGCTAAAGAGAACAATGATGAGATGCACTGGTAGCCAGAAAACAATGTCAAGTTTAACAGATTTCTATGTACATAAGAAAGAGCAACAGCAGAAAAATATAACAGAAGAATTTTGTAAAATATTTCAGTTTATTTTTGCATATTTAGACATATTATATAATCCTTATTTAATAACTAAAATTTGCATTTTAAATTGCTAAAATGTGTTTTCTTTTGATATGTTGATAATGTTTGCCAACTTAATGAAAAATATTGATAATTTGCGAATATTTTTCAAAAATGCCATGAAAATTGCAAACTTAATAAGATTTACCTTTTCATCTATAAAATATCACCAAAGTTGTTGCATTAATATGCAAGTATCAAAATATGTATGAATGATCAATGAAAAAAACATCTTCAGAAACAAAATTCTACAAATAGAAATGAAAAGGTAATTAACACATTGACTGCCATGGGGGGTCAACGGTGGCCGGCACTTGACTTGGCTATAGGACCGTAGAGGTCATCAGTAACACGACCGATAGTAAAAATACATAATTAGAGCAAATATCAACACTGATAAATTTTTAAATAATACCATTGTTACTATAATGGTTTGAAGAACAAATCATACAAAAATTTAAATAATAAATTGCAAAAATGGTTTCAGGGGGTCACCAGTGACTCCCACCACAAAAATGCATTAAACACAACTATACAACTCACCTTATCTTCTGTAGATAATATTTCGACATATTATACATTGCACAGTAAAAAAATTCATGTAGGCCCCATGGGCAATCCACATAAAATGCACGTGGCAGCAATGTGTTAAAAATACATAATTATATTCAGAACACAAAAGTTAACTATCCAGCAATCTGCTATAGCACTCAAATCAACTGTAACAGACGTATTTAAGTGTAATTGAACTATTTTATTCACGCCATGAGCTCATGAACTGTAACCGAACTATTTTATTTAAACGCCATCTCGTGGCGATATGAAAAAACGTCAGTCGACCTCTAGCCGCCATGATGATAACTTACTATGTTATGTTATTCTCAATGTTTGATGTTCCATTTCGTTTATGTTTCATTTTTATGTATATTTCTTTTGTTTGTAACCGTTCCTGTGTGCTCTGTTAATAAATCCTTTTAAAGCTAGCCGGCATTAGTGTCTATTGAGGAAACGGCTACATCACATTGGCGCCCAACTAAATTTGAATCCAAAATGGCGCACAAATGTTTAGAATTTCTGTTTGGCTTTAACAAGCCTCTTACTCCCAAATTTAACTTTTAGTTGCTGGAGATCGGCTCAGTTTCTTTTCAGATGTGAACTACTGGTAAAAAATTCTGGAAACCAATTCTGGAATTAAAATTGTCGTGCCGTGCTGCTAGCACATCGAATTCATCAACTGAACACTTTCAACGGAAAAGATAAGTTTCGGTTGCATTATCGTTTAATCTGAGTTTAAAGTTCTTTTAAACTGATTATTCATTATAAGCTGCTTCTTAAAGCAAATGTAAATTCCTTACTGAAATCTGATTTCTTGATACTACATAAAGAGTATTAAACGAAAGCAAACGGCAGAGGGGGGGGATATAACAGCCAAACTATTTCTTTGAAGTGTAATTGAACTATTTTAAAATGTTAATGCGCATAGTAAATTAATTTGTGAATAATATTGTTTTCACTGAATACATGTTTTGATGTTAAAGTTTGAATATATTCATGGACGTTGTTCATTAGAATTTACTAGTTTTGCTTCTGACATACAGCAGCAGATATATTTTTCCCCCCGCGGAAATGTTTAGACTAGCGATGATTATGATGTGTTTTACGTCAAATCTTTTATTATTTTTATTTCCTTTGAGTGCTGTTGTTCCTTATTAAATGTTTTATTCTACATAAATAAAATATTGTATTTGTTGATTTATCTTTCGACGAACATTTTGAGAAAATGATTATAGTATAATACTTTTAAGAAAATACGATTGTTTTCCTTTAATGAATGCATGTCTTGAAAATATTTCTTGAAGCGAAAGAAAATAATTATGAATAAAATCGAACGACTATTTAAATAAAGTAAAAGAGTTACTAAGTATGTGTTGCTTAATCAGCTTAATATTTTGTTAAGATTAAGATTTCGAAGAATTCAGCTTAAATATAAAAGCTTATGGTGAGACATTTATGTATGTTTTGTATATTTTGCTAAGTAGTAAACAATTTTTGAGCAATTTATTATATGTTATTTTTCTTGATACAAGTTGAATTTATAAGGGCATTTTATGATATTTTTAGGACTTCGAAATATGATAAACTTTGCCAGTATTATTGTTTACATTTATAAATACTGTTTAATAGTGGTATATAAATGTACGAGTGTAACTATTGTTTACATTTCATACATGTTTGTTTAATAGGGGTATATAAATGCTGTTTAATAGTGGTATATACATTTTATTTAAAGGTATAATTATTAATTCTAAACTACTGTATTGTAAATAAAATCAAAATAACAACAAATTCAACTTCATCCTTTTCCCTCCCCCTGACCTCTCATATAATTATGGCTTACCTTGCCAAAGCACGAAAAGAGGATTTAAAAACTCTCGCTGCAGAACTGGGTTTCACACTGTAAACGACACTATGGCGAGTAATAGATCTTAAAGATCTTATTGTCAATTCTGACACTTATGATGAGGCTTTTTACCAGGAATCTTCTGGAAACTTAATCGAAACTAGACAACAAAAACAACGTGAAAGCAACGATCTGGAGACACGTCAAAGAAAGAACAAACTTTTATTAGAATTGGAACGTTTAAAATTAAACCTGGCAGCTGCTAGCTCAAACCCTAACTATGTCACCTTTGCTTCAAATGCAGCTATTGAAACAAATATTCAACACCTAATCCCTAAATTTACAGGAACTTCTGACATTGCAACCTACCTGCAAATTTTTGAAAGACAATGTGAGAAAGTTAATATAAAACAAACATTTCGCAAATTATTTTAAGAGAACCAAAAGACAAATTAGAAGATTATTCTTACATCAAGAAGATTCTGCTACAAAGATTCAAATTAAATGCTGAATCATTTCGAATTAAACTTACTACACACCAAAAACACCCTGGGTCTTTATGGAAAGATTTTACTTACGAATTAAACAATTATCTCGAAGAGTGGCTTCATAGTCTCGATGTTACAGACTTTGAATCACTCAAAGAAGACTTGGTCCTGACGGATCAGCTTAAAAGAAGAGTCAGTAGTGACGTTAAGGAGCATTTTATTGATACTTGGGGAAAAATAAAGAGTTCATCTGAATTAGTACAGAAATTGGATGATTATGAAGCTGTACGTGTTAAAAATACGAACTAATAAAACTGAACTTCCTGGCAGGCAGCGGAACTATTCTTACAAACCGACTAATCCATCCAAACACAAAGTAGAAATCGAACAAGTGACATGCAGGGAACTCATAAAAACTTTTCAAATCGTGTTCAGCAACAAACAGAGGAAAAGCGACCTCCTTTAACATGCTATGGGTGCAGAAAAACTGTTTTTTTTTTTTATCAAGTCTAAATGTCCAGACTGTAACCCCCCAAAGACTTCAAATTCATCAAATTTTGGCACTATCCAAATCCGATCCTGTTTATCTTCCACCGGACTGCTGTATTTCCAATAAGTATTGGTGGTGTTTCCGGTACAGCTTTCGCCGACACTGGTGCTAGTCACTCAATTGCAAGTGAATCCCTCTATCATATTCTGCAGAAACAAGATGCAGTATTTGAAAAGACAACACTACAGGTGTCTTTCGCTGATGGTTTGGTATCTGAAAAAGAGGTACTTCGCACCGAACAAATCATTCTTCTCGAAGGCAGAGAGTTCAAAACTCCGCTCCTTGTATTGCCTGATGCCAAAAATAACTCGACTCTGTTAGGAATTCACTTTCTTCAAAAAGCTAAAATTGTTTTAAATCTTGCTGAAAATAAGTGGAACTTTTCTGATGAACCTCGAAGAAAATATAGCTTCGTGAAACCTCATCAATCCCAAGTACTGGAAGAAACCCCAGTTTTGTAAACACTGCCAACTACGAGAAAATGAAGGACAACAATTAACTACAGCCCAACGGCTTGCAACTGATGCATTGCTTAACAAATATCACACTGTCTTCAAAGTAGGGGGAGAAACCACTAATCAAAAGCCATCTGGCTTACTTCAAATTCCAGTCTATGCTCAACGTTTTGAAACCTTGTCAATTGACACCTTCCTGAAACACCGTCTGGTGAAAAATGGATTTTTATCGTGCAGGACTGTGCTACGAAGTGGACAGAACTATTTGCTTTAAAGGAAGCCATGGCCAGAGAATGTGCCACTATTCTTTTGGAGGAAGTTGCCCTTCGATTTGGGTTACCCAGGAAAATAATAAGTGATAATGGTACCCAGTTTACTAGTGCTGTTATGCAACAACTATGCTATATCCTGAACATTGATCAAAGTCTTACTCCCGTCTATCACCCACAATCTAACCCAGTTGAAAGGAAGAATAGAGATCTGAAACCACGTTTAGCAATACTTGTTGGTAACGACCATCAGTCATGGAAGGATAAACTGCCAGTAATAAGGTTTGCTTTGAATACAGTCAAATGTGATTCAACTGGACATTCTGCTACTTTTCTTCAATTTGCACGAGAGTTACGAACCTTAGATGATGTAAAGCATGATATAAAAGCCGTAATTGAGAGCGATAATTTTGTTCCCGAAATTACTCCATATTTGAAACGTTTTGCAAGAAATGTACAACAGGTACGAGAAAGAGTCGAAATGCATCAAGATAAGCAGAAACGATATGCTGACAAAAAACGAAGAGAAACACCGAAATTCGTTCCTGGAGATAAAGTTTTGGGTCACCCTCCACCCAATCACCAAAGGTCCACTGAAGAAAACTGCTAAATTCATGCCCAAGAGAGATGGTCCTTATGTGATAGTGACTACAAGATCTCCAACCACTTATGATATTGCCGATCCTCATGAACCAGACAAAATTTCTCGGCAAGTATCATGTTTCAGCAGCCTTGAAACCATATCAAGATCGAAATAAGCAAAACTCAGCTCGTGTAATTCCAGTGGTTCCCTTAAAGAAAAGAGGACGCCCGAAACGTGTAATACCATCTGAATCTGCACCTGTTGCACAAGGTGCTGGTGACGCAAAATCTACTCCTCGTCAAACTGGAGCCCGTCCATCTGATTCTCCGCCCGCTGCACAAAGTAGACAAATGTCAGTTCCTGACTTCTTGCCGAGACGTCTACGAAGTCAGAGGGGGAGGATGTAAACAGACCTATTTAAGTGTAATTGAACTATTTTATTCACGCCATGAGCTCATGAAACTGTAACCGAACTATTTTATTTAAAACGCCATCTCGTGGCGATATGAAAAAACGTCAGTCGACCTCCAGCCTGCCATGATGATAGTTTTACTATGTTATGTTATTCTCAATGTTTTTGATGTTCCATTTGGTATATGTTTCATTTTTATGTATATTTCTTTTGTTTGTAACCGTTCCTGTGTGCTCTGTTAATAAATCCGTTTAAAGCTAGCCAGCATTAGTGTCTATTGAGGAACGGCTACATCACACAACTGAATTTTTATAACAGTGCAAATGCAATCAGGTGTACAAACAGTAATATTACAAAAAAAAAAAAAAAATACAAATAATGAATAAACTATACATATATTACGCAAAATTAAATTAAATAAATTACATCTGTATAATACAGTATAAAATCCGAGATTCAATAATCATCAAAACTTTTGCAATTCCAGATTCCAAAAAATTTCAGATTTTAGATCACCAGTTTAAATCTAGCATGACCTGTAGAGATGGCAACATTGTGACTTCACTTCTCATTTAGATTATATAAAATGTTAATTTCCCATATGGTTGCAATCAGCACTGGTGTCAAAATTTAGGGAGCAAAATTTTAGAATTTAGAGAAGCACTAAGCAGTAAAAATTAGACATGGCAAAATTTTTAGAGTTTAAGAGATGCACTGAGCAGTAGAATTTAGGGGGTAGCAAAATTTTAGAATTTAAGGAGGCAGTGGACAGCAAATTTAGGACCTACAGAAGTCACCAGACCCCAAAATGTTAGCACTAGCTCTGCCTCCTCTTTAGCACTAACTCTATTCCCCTACTCGAGTACCGATCACACTTTCAGTCCTTGAGTAGTTGTTTTGGAGAGTCACAACAACTACTCAAAGACAAAGTGTGATCCAAGCCAACACCAACACATCAGTCAATGACTGTTACTAGCCATAGTGAAACTCTCTAGCTAGCACGTATTTGAAAGTGACAAGAATGATCCACAATTAGTCCAAAGAAAAATCCCATTTACAGTACACTTGACTCCTTTTGTTGTTATTACATTCTCCATTCCCAGACTTTGTAAAGAGGAGATGTTAGCTCATTGTTTTTTCTTTATTTATTTATTTGGGGAAGGGCTGGTGGTGAGGAGGTCTAGATTTTAGATAATTCCAGATACTCAATGCACAGATTTCACACTTTGTACTGTATTTATTTAAATCTCAATAAGCAATATTCATGCTTTTTAATTATTAACAAAGAAAAACAATTCTTACAAAAGGCAGGATGAATGTACAAACTAGATTGTCTGACTTTTTCAGAGTAAACTCAAATCTTGTTTTTTTCCCAAAGTCTTTAATTGACAAAATTATTGTTATAAATTGGTGGAAATGGTTTAATGTCAGCTACGGGGCATGAATATATTTAATGAAGATTGATAATTGATCTCATAAGGCAAAAACAAACCCACAACATTTCTCCAGAACAGAAGCCTGAAATTTTTCCTTATCCCTTACTAAATCAAACATCATTATTTTATAATTGTTTGTAATTTTCTAATATTTCATATTCGCTCTTGGTACTTGTCAGTTTTACTTGCAATCAAACACCAAGTTACAACTAAAAAAAAATAATTTCACAATTTTTATTACTTGGTTTTAGTTATTAATTTGGGTTTGCTATACTGTTTGGAAATAAATACTGCCAAACTCGGCAATTAATCATTGTTCACTGGTAAAACTGACAAGTACCACTCGCTCTGATTTCATTGTCTTAATTATTTTCTTCATGTGAAATAATAAGTATCTTCATAAAACCTCTAATAAAAACTAAATTATGTGAACAATGCAAATATAGATGCAAAAAGGGGATAAAAGGGAGGGAAATTTGAATCTACATGAAATTCAAATAATGCAAACCTTTGAGTTTTCGTAGGTGGTTAGAAGTAGAAGCAAAGATTTCTTAAAAGTATCCAAAAGAGCACTAGAAAGAAAGTAGCCATTTTTGTATCCATGTTCCATAAAAACTATTATTGCGTTAGTTACTGCTAACTGAAATTTTTCCTCTGTTTTAAAAAATCGCTGTTTAAATACAACCTAAAAAGAAGGCATTAATGATCAAAATGCTATGCATATAAATAAATAATTATAGAAAAATATTTAGACTATTTTTGGAAAGAAACTTTCACAGAACACTTTCTAAATGAAATCAACTAGTTTTTAATTCATATAAGAAGAATATAATAAAAGTGTCTATGCAATTTACACCTTTCGCAAAAAATAATCAAAGCTGTAGCAAAATTACTGGTACTCAACAGTTTCACGCACTAGCAGACTATGCATTGAGAAATAATATTTAAGCTTATACTAAACATAAAGCTGAAAACTTTTTAATGCATTAGAAAACACAAACTTTATTCACAAAGCTCTAAAATGTATTTACAATTTTAAAAATTAAAACAATTTTATAAATCAATTGTAATTCTTAAAAAGGGATGAACTCATTTAGTGTTATGTTTATGAATTTTTAAAGCAAATCATTTAAAATTATAAAATACAAAGTAAGAATGATTCTTCCTTCAATATGTAAACATGTATATGTTAAATAATTCAATATGTATTAAAATCTGTTATCAAAATATATAAGCTTCTTAACAATTAGTAAAACTGACTTTTTGAAACAGAAAAAACATTTACATTTTTTTTATTATATAAAAAGGTTTTAAAAGTTTTTATCAAGTTTTATACGAGGGTTGGAACTTTAATAGTGGCAACTATTTATTTACAAGGAATACAAAAGTGATTCATGTCACCATGTTTTACAGTCCTTCAATATAGTCGCCAGCATTGTGTACAACCCGTTTCCAACGATGTGGAAGTCGCAGAATACCTGTAGCAGCGCCTGTTTTGTTGATAGTTTGAATGGACCGGTCTACTGCCGCAAGAATCTCAGGAACAGTTTGGAAGCGAGTGCCACGAAGTGGTTCCTTCATCTTAGGAATTAAGTCATAGTCACAAGGGCTTAGATCTGGGGAGTATGGTGGATGGTAAAGCACTTCCCAGCCCCATCGCTTGAACAAATCAGTCACAGCTTGCGCTGCATGCGGCCGAGCATTGTCATGCAAAATGAGAGGAGCGTTCTGCAGAAAGTGTCGCCGTTTTTTTTCTCAAAGCTGGTCGGAGATTGTGCTCCAAAAATGAGCAGTAATACTGCGCAGTGACGGTCTGCTGTGGGGGAACGGTATGCGTTAGGATGACACCATCACAGTCGTACACGAGAATCACCATAACTTTCACATTGCTGGGGTTCTGACGAAATTTCGAACGTCGTGGTGACCCGTGATGACACCATTCGTTTGATTGGCGTTTCAGTTCTGGCTGGTACGATCGGGCCCAAGTCTCATCCAGCGTAATGATACGGCGTAAAAAAGCATCTCCTTCGCGCTCATAGCGCTCCAGGTGGGTTCGGGCAGCATCGTATCGTAGCCATTTCTGCATTTCCGTCAATTGATGTGGAACCCATCGTGAAGCAATTTTTCTCATGGACAGGCGTTCCTTCAGAATGTGCAGCACAGTCGTATGCGCTAATCCTGTTTGTCCGGCCAGCTGACGAATCGTTTGGCGGCGATCACTGTCCATTAGTGCGGCAACAGCTTGCACGTCTGCATCGCTGACACTCGGACGACCTGGCCGCAGCATGTCTGCCACGTTTTGGCGTCCTTCATTGAATGCTTTCACCCATCTTGCTACGGTTCTGTAAGGCAATGCAGATTCCCCGCAAGCCTCTTGAAGCCCTTGATGACACTGTCGTGCTGTACGACCTCTGGCACATTCAATTTTTATCCAACATCGTTGTTCTTGTTTTGAAAACATCCTGACAACACTTACTTTAGACCGCGAGCTAATACAAGGATCCGTTCTTCGCGTCACTCCGCATGCGCGTGACGTAGGCAGGACGAGTCTTTTTGCTGAGAGGTAAGGTAGGTATGTAGTTTACGTGTGGTATACGCGATATTCTTTGGTTTTGTTGCGTAGCGTTTTTTCAGCTGTGTTGCCACTATTAAAGTTCCAACCCTCGTCACAAAGTAATATATAATAATTTATGTAGAATCTCTGAACCGGAAACAACGACACCATATATATTATAATTCAATTCTTAAATGGTGTGAGGAAGAAAATGGCCTTTGTGCAGGAATTCTTAGTTAAAACATTTTCTAGGATAAATGTTTGATCTGATTTCCATTCCTTTGAATAATTTGATTACTTCTCATGAGTAAAAGTTAAGTACAGTCAAAAGTCGTTAATTCGGACCCCCATAATCCGGAATGATCTATAATCCGGACCTCAAAGCTAAAAACTTTCTGCACATGCGCCACGTTGACACATGCGCATAGGCATTTACGCGTGCGCGTAAGACCTTTACGACTGCGCATATGTGTGTGCGCAAGTGCAGAATACGTTTTCGCGTGCTCGTTTAATATATAACGGACGGTATAAACTAAAATTATCTAATTATCTATTTCAGTTAATGTTCATGATTGCGTTGTTCCTTAATCTTCGAATTGGATGCAGCTTATTATTTTTTGCAGACTGTAAGAGCAATTTTATAAAAGTAAACTTGAACTTTCGATAATGTCAAATAGAATTTCCGATGCTGGAGCTCCCAAAGGATCTACAAAACGAAAGTATGTTTCAACGTCCGTCAAAAAAAAAAGTGGAATTGCTGCAAAAAATGGATAAAGACATGAAGAAGGTGACAGAGAGGTTAGTGAAAACGAAAAAATTTCGATTGACAAGTTAGTCGGTATTCTTGGCACAGCAATTACGGGACTTGAACAGCGGAACTTTGTAACTGAACAAGAAATTATGTCTGTTTATAGAATTAAAGAGAAAGTATTATCACATAAAATGAAGCAACTTAAACAACTTACATTGAAAGAAATGTTTAATGAAATAAACAAATAAATATTAAGCTTTTTTTTTTTTTTTTTTTGTAAATTTTGATACCCTTTAGATCATAATTGTTCTTTATTTCATAAATTACGGTTTCATATTTTTAATTTTAGAATTTCTGCAAGCCATCTGACGAGATTTAAACTGATGATCTACAATCTGGAAAAATCGATAATCTGGAATCGCCGAAGTCCCGATGAGTCCGGATTAACGACTTTTGACTGTATAAGTATGTATGTTTTAATGCATATTTATCATTTTGTACTTTAAATAAAAAGTTTGAATATTGTTGCAAAATGCAGTGAGATATAGCTAAACTGCGGACTTAGGGTTGCCAGAAAATGGCAGGATTGGCAGATTTGGCATGAAATTGCCCATTTGGTGACAGAATGACAATATGTCATAGACAGAGCAAGAGTATTTTAGAATGCATTTTTAAGGGCTTTCTTGGGGATATTTTCAAAGGTAGGTTAAAGCTATATATACCCTACATGTATGTCTTGAGTTCAGAGATTAGCTTGAGAGCGACTGACCGAGTTGAGAGCTATACTGTAGTGCTTTGCTATGAAGCTGTCTTCACTGTTATAGCCTGAAGGCTATGCTGATTGTTTCAGAGTGTTTGTCATAAATTTTTGACAAATGTAAACATGTCTTTGGAACTGATCTGTGTAATAGTAATTACTGATGAATAAATTGTGTTTTGATTCTTCTTTAAATGTTATCATCAATTCAGCAGACATTCACCTGCAATTATTATCAGTTGAACCTAAAATAAGAAACTTGTGCCAAAAAATGCAATCACATATCATATTAAATATTTATATGCCTTATTATGTTATGTTTCAATGTAGGTCTACTGTGCACCACATGCATTCTAGTTGCACTACAGTTAGTAAAATTAAACTGAAATTGTTTCCTGTCATGAATAATAATAATAATAATTATGAAAGTTTTCAAATTTTATATTACGTCTAAAGGGTTGTTTTTTCTTTTTACATATACATTTTGAGAGCATTTGGGCTAAAAATAAAAACAGCATATCTTTAGAATTTTCGAAAGACAATCTCGCACACTGGAGTTAAAAATATTTTATTCTGTACAGTGTGTTGTCACTGATCACTTTGAAACTGTTGAGTTTCTTAATCAAAAATTCATTAAAATTTTAAAAATATGAAATGACAATAAAACAAATTCAAGATTTGGCTTCTAGATGCACATATTCAGGTGGACTACCTTATTCTTAATTTGATGGCTTTAGGTATCACTATTTTTTCAGAAAGTAGAAAGCATACATACGTCCATGCAAGATGCTTCATTATTTAATTTCTTTAAATATAACACAAGGTGATAATATTTGGTAGCAACCATTTGAAAAGTGATACAGTTGTTTACAGTGATTCGACGCAAAATGTCGTGGCTAGCACCCCTTTGGGATAATAATGAACAAGTTTTAAATGAATTTAATACAATAGTTAAATTAAAAGAACTGTGTTAATTATATGGACCTTTTTCATTTTGCTTTCACAAATAACTTTTTGTAATGCAAATGCTTTGTTTTATGAAATGTGAAATATCTTTTGTATGGCAATGTTTTGACAATATCAAAGATATTTGTAGTAGCTGAAAATAAAGTGAAATATTATGGTAAATTTGTTTCCTGTTTTAAGTTTAAAAAACAATTTCATTGCATGAATAATGTGCAGTTGCTTGGATATCTCTACATTTCTTTATTATGCAGCCATTCTCCCCCCCCTTACACCACATTGCTGAGTTATAAAACAGAGTAAGCCTAAGGTGCTCTGCCCTGATATTGATTGTACTAAAGAGCTCCACAAATCAAAAAGTTTGGAAATAACTGGTTTGCATAGTATCAAACAATTTCTTTATTTTTTACTGTAAAATGTTTTTAGAAATTTTTTAAGTAAATTCTCAGAGATATTCTGGGGGTAGGAGATAAAAATAAGATGTCAGATTGAGTTATCTATTATGTCTTGGTATAGATGACACCATACCATACTGCACATCAGTTTCTATAAACTGATGTGAAAAGGTAAGCCAAAAGAAGCAGCAGAGGTCAAGTGACACTAAGATTATACTAGTAATAAAGGTCAAGTATAGTGACACTGTATTAGTCATGTTACATTTATCTGTAATGGTCTGATAAATGATGGTTTTTTACAACACTTTATTTGTCCATCTTACTTTAAATTTTTAATTCATTGAAGATTTGTAAACAAAAGAAATACATTTAACTAAAAAAAGTTCAAGACATAATGTTAATCTTCTTAAGCATTATGAAAAATTGTACAACAGAAATTATAACCTACAATTGAATGCACAGTACGATAAACTGTACATTCAGCTGCCAAGAAGAAAATTTGCAGTAAATTAAAATCTTATGCTGTAGAACACTTTTTGTAAAAGAATCATTGCAGTATTTAGTCCAAAACCAAGAATTAATACTATCATGGCCAAGAACTGACATAATACTCTAATAAGTGGCTAAAAGAGTTACTACTAAAAATGAGTAACAAAAAATGAGCATTAAAATATACAAAAAAAAAAAAAAAAAAAAAAAAAAAAAAAAAAAACGCATGATCATAACATACTAACAGTATACAAAATCACTTACTTCAATTAAATTGTTGAGAAATTTTCCCAGAGCAAAAGTATTTAATACATACTTTGTACAAAGCACATTTACATTTTCTGACATAATAACTAAAAATGAAGATGTGGCTTCTTCAACAAGCTCCATCTCTCTAAAAGAAGAGAGAAAATTGAAATGTAAAATTACATGAAAATATGGGTGCATTCTTTCATTTGTTACTCTTTTCCATAAATGCAAAAAGTAAAGTACTAGAATTTGCAAACTGTTTTTACTACTTTACAGCTTTCTTTTGGAGGAGAATTAAAATTGTGCATAGATAAAAGTAATTTAGGAATATAATACAAAAGATTCACATTCTTAAACATGAGATTACATAATATAGATTCTCAACTTCAAGCAAAAGAGAAAAGTCTTTTAGTCGTAAACTCAAAATAAAAAGTGCTAGAAAAGAAAATGGAAAAAATCAGGTTGTATTACATGAAACCCATACACTTTAAAAGGGTGTCTTTGTGGACAGTATTATAACCTTTAACTACTGTGACTTAAATTGTCGCATAACTACTGTGAGCGGTCTCTCAGACCGCTTCTGTTAAAAACAAAATAAGATATTGATTTATTTTTCTTATTTGAATAAATGTTATTTAATTTCATATATTTAACTTTTTCATGAAGATATAAAGCAATTTTTATACTTAAATCAGTTCATTAGAATAAAATATATACTATGATAATAATTCCTTCGCTTGTGTATCTGGATGGAAGAAGTAAATTTTTAAATTCAACTTTTTTATTTTACATTAAAATTTGCGATAAGAATGCTTTAATAAGAATATAGAAAATTAATTTTTATTTTAAAAATTATAATTCCAGCTGCATTTTATACATACTTTTCTACTGCATTGGAGACACACTGGTTCTTTGCATGCTATACATTTGTAAGCTGTTTTCCTTTGTTTTGCTTGGTGGACAAATATAGCACGTTCTTTTTTTATCTAATTTATTGTCTTCGATCGCGATGTTTCCTTCATCATCATTTATTCCGAAAACTCTTCTTATTGTAAGTTTGAGTTCTTTAGGCATAAAACTGATGAAGTTATCCTCCGTTTTACATGAGACTGCACTGAATTGCTAATGGAATCTTTTCGTTTCATTTTCGGAGACAATGGAATAAGACTGAAATAATATGAATACATTTATTGCATATCCAAGTTTCTGAAGAATATTGCCATAGGCCAACGTCGGGTTCGACGAGCAGTTGAATAGATTGAACGAAGAATAATATTGTGACTACGAGTTCGAACACCCTTGTTGGGCTCTTGAATAGACCCTTTGAATTCATTTTTTCCAATAAAAAAATCTCTTGTAGAAGGAGAACATGGATTTTCATTTTCATTGGCAGATATTTATGAATTTTTGTTGTGGTCGCTCTTAATAATTTCATCATGGGAACTTTCATCAGAGAACTGTAAATTAAACCAATTTCGAATTGTTTATTCAATTTGTCTTGAGTAAGATATATAGAATGTTTCCTGCACGCATTTGAAGCCATTTCAAGAATATTTATAAAAAAGCGAAATATAAAACAACAATGAAAAGTGAACTTTATCGGCCGAAATTTGAATCGTATCTGCTGTGATCGGTCCTACAGACCGCTGAGGAAGGGGAAATTTTAAAAAATAAAAGAAGAAATAAAAGCTAGCTAAATGCAACTTGGTGTATGACCTTGGGCAACTGGTTTAGGAAGGTACTAAGAATGGCAATAGCCATTAATTATTCTAAGGGGTGGAAGCATTTACTGGAAAATGTCGTTCGGTCCAAAAGACCACTCACAGCAGTTAAAGGCTAACAAAAATGATTTCTATCCACTGTGAACAATATATATATACACACATACATACAACTCATTAATTAAAAATCACATAACTCTCTGATATCAGTTAGTATTAGTTACTAAGTGCTAAGCATATAATCCTTTATAGTTATGTAATAAATATCTATATCAAACAGCACATAAAAGGGAGTCAACTTAACTACTGTGCTACATGTTAACATTCAGTTAAAATTATCACAAATGGATTGAATGTTTTCATCTATTTTTGAAATAAATTTCATTAAACTTGTTTTAATCCTTTTATTTACGATGCACATTAGTAGCTACTAAATAAAATAAAGGGTATACTTCATTTCAATTAGTTGGTAAGGAAAGTGATACATTTATTTCGTTAAATGAACATGGTAAAAGTATAGTTTAGGGTACCCCTTGGCGAAACTTGGCAATTTTTGGCAGTACATGGATACCGATTTTGTGCAATTCTTTGACTCGTTATTTTGGCTTGCGAAGCAGCGATTTTTGCACCAAACATCACCACTACACAAAGCCAAAATAACAAGACAAACAATTGCACAAGCTCGGTATCCATGTACACATCGATTTATTTTCACTTAAAAAAAAAAAACCCCAAATTGCACAAAAATGGGATTTCGCACTCCTTTGACTTAACCATGTACACATCAACCTAGTTTCACTTTAAAAAAAATCCCCGAATTGCACAAAAATGGCATTGCGCACTCTTTTAACTTTATACATATGTCAACCTATTTTCACTTAAAAAAAAATCCCAGAATTGCACAAACTTGCATTGCACACTTCCTTTACTTTGTCCATGTACACAACGATATATTTTCACTTAAAAAGTCAAAGGAGCACCAAATTCTAAAATATAGGCAAACAAAAAATACATAGTCTCAATAAAATAAATTTTAAACCAAACAATAAAATATCATAAAAAAGGAAAAACATGTTATACATTTAAGCGCTACCAAAAGCAAATATTCACTTACCATGATTCTCGAGTTCGCTTCGTACACCCAGAGCCCCATAAAAATCAAAATATCAATCATACTCAAATGACTTTTTTCAAACCAGGTACTCTTTCTGCTCGAACACTTCACATAGTGACCATCTAAACTTTTCTTCCTACAAACCCATCTAAACGGTTTTTACGCTCGACTAGACGCATATCCTTCCTACATACAGGACACTTATAATGACTACTAAATAAACTTTCATTTACACACCAGTCAATTAAAGCTCTTTTCCCCTTTCGCTCCAAACGGTACAGAAAATTCAAATTAATCTTACTACATTCGGCCATTCTACAGTCTAAAGAATCAAACCATCACACACCACAAAAACACTTACAAAACATCCCATGATTCAAAATTTCCCAGAATCATGCACCCAATTATGTCACAATAATGTTTCCATAACATTCAACTACTCAGGCTACCATAAATGAAACAAAAACTTGGCGATAAATCAAAGAACAACTTCGCCATAATACAAGGGGTACCTTAAAGTCTACTCTACCCACGAACAGCAACAGTAAATAAGTACCTGACTCAAATAAATAAATTACAATATTAAATCTAAATTTAGGAATATAAAAATAATAATTTGAAAGTTTAAAAATTTACAAATATTTTGATGAGACTTGAGAGCAAAAGTACATAAATTGTTTGTAGAACTTAGAATATTTGCAATGGCATACTTAATATTACAATATATCTGGTTGTGGCGAAAGTTTTTTGCAAAAAAACATTCTCAATAAAGTTAGAATAAAAAAAAAAAAAAAAAAAACATGAAAGCAGTATCTTTAGTGTGGATAGTAATCACCCTCCAAATCTATGATTTCCTGCCAATGTTTTGGTAGTTTTTCAAAGCCTTCGGCCCAGAAGCTTGATGACTGCGAATCCAAAATCAGATCAATCTCATTTTGGTCGTCCTGTGCCGAATGGAAGATGGCACCAGCAAGATGTAGCTGCAAGTGTGGAAAAAGGTAGAAGTCTGAAGGAGCGATGTCGGTACTTTACCATGAGTGTGGTAAAGATCCCATTTGAATCCGTATGGAGTCCAGCGGGGGAATGCAGACACATGTGGTCTTGCACTGTCTTGATGGGAAAATTACCTTTTTGTGCCAAACTCAGTTCAACATTCTTCCTTCATAGCAGTGTCAACATGGACTAGCATCTAGCTGTACACCTTACTGTTAAGGGTTTTACCTTTTCCCAGATAATCTTTGTGGATAATACCACAGAAATCCCACCAGATACAAAGCATGATCTTTTGCAATGCAGCCAATGCGCTCAGTGTGTGCAGACCAACCCCTTTTTCAGCCTGTGTTGTTGAAGTAAATCCACGTGTCATCACCAATGACAATTCGGTCCAGAATTTTGCCTTGCATTGATATTTGAGCAGATTAGTGCAGGACCGAACACATTTGTCCTTACTTGATGCATAGAACAACTAATGGACATGGCACTAATGTCTAACTCTTTAACAAAGCTTTCAAGTAGTTGCATGCTGATCTTCCAAAAGTTCTCACAGGCGGGCCTCATCAATATCAGTAGGCCGGCCAGAGTGCTCTGCTTCTTGAATGTCATAGTTCTAGTTTTTGAACTTTCAGGAACAAACCTTCACAGGGTCATATCATACACTTTAGTACTTAAAGCTGTACACAGGATTTGGTGACATTCTGCAGCTGACTTTTTGCAACAGAACTGGAAGTAAATGATGGTTCTAATCTGGTTGCGTGATAGTTCCATTTCACTTAATGATATTTTTTTACAAATTTCACAACACAGTGTTCTAAAAAGAAAGTATCTTTCTTTCAAATACCAAAAATCGGTTCAAAAACTATGATTAAATACACAAATGCAAACTGTTTGTGCAGATGTTATGGTGAAAAAATCGTCATGACACCAATATGTTATAGAGAAAATTCATGGTACCAATAATGTTAAGGTTTCCTAAAGTCTGGTACCTAAAAGGTTTCCTACTCTGTTGACATAACACTTAAAATTTTTCAACTACAGTAACATACTAACATCAATAAGCCCGGTACATTTGCGTTGTGTTTTCGGATTAACCCTGAAATCAATTTGAGACTGAGACGGGTGAAAATCATTGAGCACACACACAAAAAGAAATAAATAAACATTGACCGATCTAGAAAAGTGAGCCTATTTATTAAAAGTTTTAAGAGTTACTTAGTCCAGTAATTTGTAAGCAATTAATATTCAATCAGTACTGTTAACATATTGATTATTACACAGTGCAGAATTAACTTAGTAAGCAAATCATATTCAAGC